ATAATAAGTTACTTTTCAAACACACAAGAATATCCTCGATATTGGCAGACATTTTGAATTTGTCCGTTAGCCCAAGCTATGGATTGAAAATACTACCACGACTACTTTAACATGTTAAGCACCAGGCCAGTCACCGGTGACTGACACTATACTTTTCATCTGGACTGGTCAGTCACTGGTGCTGCCAGCATATCGGTGAAATCGGATATCGAGGGCTAAACGGAAAAGAAGACAAAACAGGCTTGGCGCTTAACGTGTTAAAAATAACTTGTTAAAGGAAAACCTATAGTGATATAATATACACGAGGAGGACTCCGAGTCTGGATTTGTTCTAGTAACTTGGTCCCAAGGCAGGTCTGGTGTGCAAAGTGAAGACGTATCCAGGCACGACCTCCATAGCTGAGGAGACTGCGAATCTGCAGGGATTGATGAGAGGAGGCAGGGTTCAGGCTCATCGTGGCTCAGAGGACAGGGAATGAAACCTCTGGTTGCAGCAGCAGCAGCAGGGTGCTGTTTGCTGGCCTGTGGAACCATGAGGTGGCTCTGCCCACTCCTTCCTCCAGGACTTTTCAGATGTCAAATGGGCCATCCAAAGGCTAGACTGCTGACACCTGTTCATTTTCTGAAAATGATAAAAATACAATTAAGTGACAGATTAGCATATTCATGAATAACCTAGATATGTTATAAAATTAGTCAATTTCAACAAAGAAATCCTCTCAATGATCCTATCAAGGTCCAGATTTTTTGTAATGACATTTATGAGTTCTGATCACACTGAAAGCTGACAGTAAACTGGAATTTCATAACTTTTTAATTACTTTATTACTCTATTGTTTAAGAGGATAATATTTCATTTATTTTTAACAAAGCAAACCACAGCTGCCAAGTCAATGAAGGATTTTGCTCATAAAAGGAGCTACACCAATAGCATGATTTCAGATAATTTTGCATTTTGACACTTCCAGTTTCAAGTTTCCATGCATTCATGTAAACCATGACTCCAATAATGTCAAGTCCCTCCTCTCAAAATTAGACTGAGCCGCCTTCAATCACATATAAGAATACTCCATTTAAGTTGGAAGAAGGGGACTGGGCACACAATCAAGCGGTTTTACCTCTTTCATTAAAAAAAAACACCATCGCCCTAGCCCAGCCGTGGGCAAACTACGGCCCGCGGGCCGGATCCGGCCCGTTTGAAATGAATAAAACTAAAAAAAAAAAAAAAGACCGTACCCTTTTATGTAATGATGTTTACTTTGAATTTATATTAGTTCACACAAACACTCCATCCATGCTTTTGTTCTGTCCCTCCGGTCCAGTTTAAGAACCCATTGTGGCCCTCGAGTCAAAAAGTTTGCCCACCCCTGCCCTAGCCAGTTTGGCTCAGTGGATAAAGCGTCAGCCTGCGGACTGAAAGGTCCCAGGTTGGAGCCCCAGTGGGGGGTGTGCAGAAGGCAGCCCATCAATGATTCTCTCTCATCATTGATGTTTCTCTCTCTCTCTCCCTCTTCCTTCTTCTCTGAAATCAATAAAACAAAACAAAAAAACACACACGCCATCACCCAGCTGGTGTGGCTCAGTGGTTGAATATCGACCTATGAACCAGGAGGTTCAAGGTTCGATTCCCGGTCAGGGCACATGCCTGGGTTGTGGGTTTGATCCCAGCATGGAGTGTGCAGGAGGCAGCCAATCAATGAGTCTCTCTCATCAGTGATGTTTCTATTTCTCTCCCCCTCTCCCTTCCTCTCTGAAATCAATAAAAAAACAAAACAAAAAACACACCATCATATTTAGAGATTGCTTTTTTTTTTTTTTAACAAAGATCTCTGAGGCATTTAAGAAAACATTTCTGATGATCTAAAACACCAGTACAAAGGCCATTTAATGTGTTCAGCAATTCATTTAAGAGCCATTAAGGGAGTTTGTCAACATACCGTCTGCTTCGCTATCTGCATCAGTCACATCTGCTAGTTTAGGATGGGATGGCTGCAAACTACGCCTCTGAGGCTGAGTGACAATCTTCGATGGAACACAGGCCATGGGGTTGCTACTGAGAGAAGCTGATGGCAGTCTAGACAGGCTGTTATGCATCATCTTTGACCTCTGCACTGCCACACTGTAATCTGGAGGTTTTAGGTGTAGGTGGGGTCCTTCCTTTAGGTCTGCTAAAGAAATCCCCATGTATCCTGGAGGAGTAGGAGGTGGCTCCCTATACCTATCCTCCTTCTTGGGTGAGGTGACACAGTACACTGGCATGAAAAATAAGCAATGGACATGTTAATGAAAAATATAAGAAATTAAAAAAACATACTGAAACTTATTACAATGACAAAACAACTTAAAAACAGACAAAATGAATATGTATATTTGAATACAGTGATAGCAGATTAAAAACATTTTTTAAAAGCTTAATAAATGTAATATTTAAACTTGTTTTTAAAATATGTAAATTACATTAGGTTTTATAAACATTAAATAGAATGACAGAGATGACAGATAACAGATTCCTTTGGCAGTTCAGCCCTAAAACCACAGAAGTGTGTGACAAACTCCTCAAGGAATAGTAACCCCAAAGATGACTGAGTCAGAAACATTTTAAGAGTCCACCCTAAATATCTAGATGGACTTTCACAGAAATCACTTTTGGGCCCTTTTTTTTTTTTTTTTTTTAAATATATTTTATTGATTTTTTACAGAGAAGAAGGGAGAGGGATAGAGAGTTAGAAACATCGATGAGAGAGAAACATCAATCAGCTGCCTCCTGCACGCCCCCCAGTGGGAATGTGCCCGCAACCAAGGTACATGCCCTTGACCGGAATCGAACCTGGGACCCCTGAGACGCTCTATCCACTGAGCCAAACCGGTTCGGCTGGGCCCTTTTTTTAAGGGTGCTCTCCCTCTCCCTCTGTTTTATGGTATTCCTGGGTAGACTAAGTTGTTGGTTCTGGCATATGAACAACTTTAACTTTCCTGGTATAGAGGAGCTAACTCCTTTAAGGGCCTTAGTCTAACTTTTGCTCTGTGATTACATGAACAAGAAAAAACACACATAATTTTAGGAAATCCATCTTAAATTAAGTTTCTCTGATTTTCAGTGGACGTTAAAAATAATGGTGACTTAAAATTCTTTTCCCTAAGTTTATAAACCCTCGGACTAAGGTAAACAGAAATAGGTTACACAGAGTGGAAGTTCCATGAAATTAAGACCAGCCTACAGACAGAACCCACAGAACAAAAGGCTCTGAATTCCTTGATCATAAAAGTGACTTTTAAAACACAAACAATAACTACATATAAGCAGAACAAATTAAAAAGGACCATTAAATAATTCTAATATTAATTCTCCCTTAGATGATCAAGTTTGTCCATAACTAAATTTCTAGAACTGTCAGTAAAATTTGCATGTAGTATCAAGGTCAGAAAGGATTTCCAGCCCTAGCCGGTTTGGCTCAGTGGATAGAGCGTCGGCTTGGGGACTGAAGAGTCCCGGGTTCGATTCCGGTCAAGGGCATGTACCTTGGTTGCAGGCACATCCCCAGTAGGGGGGTGTGCAGGAGGCAGCTGATTGATGCTTCTCTCTCATCGATGTTTCTAACTCTCTATCCCTCTCCCTTCCTCTCTGTAAACGATCAATAAAATATATTTTTTAAAAAAAAGAAAGAAAGAAAGGATTTCCATTCCCATCTGTGAAGGATGGAATGAGGAGGGAATGGAGATGATGTCAAAAGAAGAAAGACAAACTCGGCCAGTATGGCTCAGTGGTTGAGCATTGACCTAGGAACCAGGGAGGTCACGCTTTGATTCCCAGTCAGGGCACATGCCTGGGTTGTGGGCCTGACCCCCAATTAAGGGGCGTGCAGGAGGCAGCCAATAGATGATTCTCTCCCATCATTGATGTTTCTATCTCTCTTCATTTCCCTCTCTGAAATCAATACAAAGGTATTTTTTTTAAAAAAAGAAAGACAAGAGTGAAGAATATTAGTAATTTGACCAGTCATCTAGAAATGAAAGAATAAAGTATTTTAAAAAATCTATTATCCCAAATGGACAAGAGAAGGATATCATATCCGTTCACATTCATGCTTATAAAGGGTGTCCCAAAATTCACGCAAGAAGTAATTTTGATAGAAAACACAGGTTTATAATTAAAAATTGTAAATTTTTTATTGATTCACAAAGTATACAGTATAGGGTTATGTATGGAATAGCATATCGGGTAAATGGCCTCCACGGCTTTGCTGGCCCATACGCACTCTTTTGTTGAAATTTTCCATGACCGTTTTGCATAAATGTGGCTGAATTTCGATGAGGCTCATTTTCATCTTGATGGCTTGGTTAATCGACTAAATTGTTGCATTTGGGGTTCAGAAAATCCACGAGTGATTGTTGAGAAACAAATGCATCTACAACGTGTCACTGTTTGGTGCGGATTTTGGGCTGGAGGCATCATTGGACCATTCTTCTTCGAAAATGTGGCTGCTCAGGCAATAACAAAAGAGTGCGTATGTGCCAGCAAAGCCGTGGAGGCCATTTACCCGATATGCTATCCCATACATAACCCTATACTGTATACTTTATGAATCAATAAAAAATTTACAATTTTTAATTATAAACCTGTGTTTTCTATCAAAATTACTTCTTGCGTGAATTTTGGGACACCCTTATATCCATCCTGTGGTTATCTATAAAACTTTAATTAAAAAAAAAAAAAAAACCTTGCAAAAATTGAATGAACTAAAAACCCACTCTATAATGCAATCTGACTTATATAACAGAGCTATAATAATCAAAACAGCATGGTATTGGCAGAAAAACAGACACACAGATCAATGAAATATAACTGAGAGCCCAGATATAAACCCACATATATATGGACAGAAAATTGTTGACAAAGGAACCAGAAACACACACTAGAGTAAAGAAAGCCTCTTCGATAAATGGTGCTGGGAAAATTGGAAAGCCACATGCAAAAGAATGAAACTGGATTATAGTTTGTCCCCATGTACAAAAATTAATTCAAAATGGATCAAAGACCTAAATATAAGACCGGAAACAATAAGTTACATAGAAGAAAACATAGGTAGTAAACTTAGGGACTTTGGTTGTAGAGAACATTTTATGCACTTGACCCCAAAGTCAAGGGAAATAAATGAATGGAACTATATCAAACTAAAAAGCTTCTGCACAGCAAAAGAAACCTACAACAAAACAAAGAGTCAGAAGACCAAATAGGGGATGATATTTGCAAGTGGTAGCTCCAAAAAAGGTTTAATACCCAAAATATATAAAGAACTCATAAAACTCAACATCAAACAACCCAATCAAAAAAATGGGTAGAGGACCTGAACAGACACCTCTCCCAAGAAGATATATAAACTGCCAACAGATATATGAAAAGATGTTCAACCTCACTAGCAATTAGGGAAATGCAAATCAAAGCTATAATGAGATACCACCTCATTCATACCTGTTAGAATGATTATACCAACAAGACAAGTCATAACAAGTGTTGGAGAGGTTGTGGAGAAAAGGGAACCCTCATTCACTGCTAGTGGGAATGTAGACTGGTACATTCTACATTGGAATGGAAAACAGGCTGGTGACTCCTCAAAAAATTAAGAATAGTGGTACCATACAACCCAGCAATCCCTCTCTTGGGTAAAAATACTTGAAAAACTCAAAAACATGTATTCGCAAAGTTATATGCATCCCTATGTTCAGTGCAGGATTATTCACAGTGGCCCAGACATGGAGACAACCAAAGTGTCCTTCGATAGAGGATTGGATAAAGATGTGGTACAACCTGGCTGGTGAACACTGACTCATGCACCAAGAGGTCACGGGTTCGATTCCTGCCTTGATCCCTGGTGGGGGGCGTGCAGGAAGCAGCCGATTGATGAATCTCACTCATTGGTATTTATATCTCTTTCCCTCTGCCTTCCTCTCTTTCTCAAATCAATAAAAAATGAAAAAAGATGTGTACATATACACAATGGACTACTGCTCAGCCATAAGAAAACACGAAATACGCCCATTTGTGACAACATGGATGGACCTTGAGAATATTATGCTTAGTGAAATAAGTCAGACAAAAAAGCTAAGAACCATATGATTTCACTCATATGTGGAAATAAAACTGAACTTGTGAACAGACAGCAGTGTGGTGGTTGCCAGAGGGAAGGGGTATGGGGTTAGGGATGAAGGGGGCCTAGTATAAGGTGACAGAAGATGATTTGACTTTGGGTGGTGGGCACACAGTGCAATATACAGAATCTTGTAACACAGAAACCCACAACGGAAACCTATGTGATCCTATTAACCAATGTCATCCCAAAATTGTAATTTAATAAAAAGTAATGTAATTTGACAAATATAAAACAAATGTGCTATAGATGTGCTATAAAAATCAAATTGAATTGAAATTTAATATTCATATTTAATAAATATTAAATTGAAAAATGTCAATTGACATCATAAGCTATAGAATTGAGTTATGATAAAATTGATTCAAAGTATAGTCAGTCATTCCACATAAATAGAAAAGCAGGAGCTATTATATTCAAGTATTTACATAATTTAAGGAAGAAAGGAAAAAATGTAGTTGATGGCTTGAATACTAAAATAGACCAAGCAAGCTGTAATTAGCATGGAATCCACAAACAGGAGTTTGTGCACCCATGATGTGCTTCAGAAGAGTATTCTGAAAAAATGCTTTGGATTTCCTTATCACATTTCTTCTCACTTGTACTGCCTAAAAGTAGTATCAGACTGAAAGTTTCTACCATGTATGCATAGCAACTGTGGTCCAAACAATTTATGGGGTGACAGAGAGTATAATCCCTTTATTACTATTGCATAGTAATGCAGTGTTTCCACAATGAACAAAAGACTCAAAACAATTAATTAAATACCTTCATACCAGCCTTTTCATTTTAATAGGCTTTAATACCTATTCCAAAGTTCCTGAGAAATCATGAACTTTAAAAAAATAATTTATTAGAAGAGGGAAGAGGAGTTGAAGTGAGAGATGGGATTTTTTTCAAGAATAAAATTCTAAAGATGTCCCAATGCCATTTTTACCACTTAATCTCTAAATGCCACAGATGCACCAGAGAACACAGAACTTACCAATCAAGCCCTTTTCTGTACTTGAAGTAATAGTTTTATAAACTGGGTCAGCGCCATCCTTGGGGTCCAAGCCTTCAGACAACTCGGCGGCGGTGCTCTCCAACACCCTCCGCTTAACTGTCCCATAGTTTGGTTCGTACGTGTCAGAAAGAGAACTGGAGGAGGCCCAGCTCTGTCTCATCTGATTAGTCTCTAGGCTTCCTTTACACTGACCACAAGTTCTAGAGCAGCTGTTAGGACAGGAATAGGGCTCACAGTCAGTGGGTTCAACTTCAGCAATGGGGCCATCCAAATGGGTATGTCGATAGGAGTTCAAGAAATCCCAGCCTTTTGGGTTTGGAAGGCTTTGGAAGTTGTCATGGGAACTGCTTGAGCAGGAAGTCCAACTTCCACGACCACTATCGCCTGCTTCTATAATGATGTGCTCATGAGAAATCTCTTCATTGCTCATAGAAGATGAGACAGCTAAACTCTTGATTGGAGATGGCTTTGAGAGTGTCCACCTAAAATTGAAGATACAAGATTAAAAGTAATTTACTGGCTTATTGGAAAACCTTTCTTCTGTCCATTTCAAGTATTAAATGCATCCAAGAGACTACAGAGCATCCTATATAACAAAAGCCTAATATGCTAAGTGTCCGGTCGTCTGTTCAACCAATCAAAGCATAATATGCTAATGATGTGCTAAGACTGCTCAACCGCTCGCTATGATGTGTTGTGCACTGACCACCAGGGGGCAGACAGTTGACTGGTTGACCAGTCGCTATGACATGTACTGACCACCAGGGGACAGACGCTCCAACCGGTAGGTTACCTTGCTGTTGGGGTCCAGCCGATTGGGATTGAGTGAGAGGGGCCGGACATACCCTGGAGCCCTCCTGCGGTCCCTCCCTGGCCCCAATCGTGCACCGGTGGGGGTCCCTAGGCCTGGCCTGCGCCTTCTTGCAATCCGGGACCCCTCAGGGGATGTCGGAGAGCCGGTTTCGGCCCAATCCCGCATGCCAGGCTGAGGGACCCCACTGGTGCACAAATTTGTGCATGGGGCTTCTAGTCTATCATAAGAGTTCATGCTAAAATAACCTTGTGGAAAAAAATGACCCTATCATCAATCATCACTGAATTTGTATTGGCATTAATGTTAATACTTAGCTTAGAAACATACACTGAAGAAACACAATCACTTAGCAAGGTTTCCTCAGAATTTTTCTTGAATTGAATTTAAACGAGAATGAAAAATGTGGCTAAAATGAATAAAATTAAGAATATATTTTCATTCTTGGTCAAAATAATGCTAGATTCTCTCTATGCATGCAGAAATAAGAGTTCCCAGCTACAGGTATGCACCTCTGAGGTTAGCTTATTTTTCAGTGTTCCTCTGAGGTCAGCTGAGTACAACATTAAGTAAATAGCAACTTTCCCAACTAACTACTACTAAATGAATTCTATTATTTACAGCAGGGGACCCCAATTTAAGACTCATGGGCCAAATCCAGCCAACAGCCTCATTTTGTATGGTCTGGAACAAAGCATGGTTTTTACATTTTAAAGAGTTTAAATAAAACAAAATATTCTAAAGAATTTGAGACAAAGACTATATGCAGCCTGCAAAGCCTAACATACTTACTATCTAGCCCTTTCCAAAAAAAAAAAAAAAAGTTTGTGAACCCCCGATGTATAGTATAAAGCAGGGGCCAGCAAACTAGGGCCCTGGATTTGGCCAAATCCAGTCCTCTGCCAGTTTCTGTAAATAAAATTTTATTGGGACACAACGTGCCCATTTGTTTACATATTGTCTAAGGCTGTTCTGGCAAACAAGGTTGAGCAGTTGCAACAGACTTTATGGCCTGAAAAGCCTAAAATATTTACTAAGTTTCATAAAAAGACTGACCTCTGGCCTAGAAAATCATAGTTTAAAAGCCTTTACAAATATGATGATAATACTTTACTACAGCTTACATTTTTCATATTAAAGTATACCAGATCTAACAATATTTACCAATTTAGAATCAACTTTCTCAAAAATTTCCATTTTGCTTGACTCCAATGAGAAATTTGAGTTAAACTCTTTTGGTAGCTGATAATCCTTAATCCTTAAATCATACTTTCAGAGAATAAGGATCAAGGACGCCCTACTGCCCCAACCTGTCTACAGTGTATACCGCACTGGAGGTACCTCCCACTACACAATCTTTTTGAAAAATCTCTAACCTGAGAGCCAGAATGCAAAAACCACCTCCCCATATCAAAACAACTTCACTTTTCGTTCTCAATGATTGAAAACGTGCATGTGATAGAAAGTTGACTTGAATTCAGTAACACTTAAGAAATGAGCACCCATACATATTTAAAAATAGTACTTATTTGCATATTCAGTATAGAGAATACAGGCTTGGCCTTCATATTCTTTTAGGGATCCTCTTGCAAACACTCCACGGGGTAGTTCTGGAGAATTATGCAGTGGCCATTGGCTTAAGTTTTGTGATATAAATATAGGCGAGGATGTTTACCCAGGGCCAAGCTGACTATGGGCTCCTGTCCCAGAGGAGTGCTCTGTCCTTTCCAACAGCCCGGTGGATTCAGGGACTGCCGCAACCTGGGAGGAACACCGTTCGTCCTGCAGAGCTGCAGACATGGAGTCAACAGAACAATTGCTCACAATGCTGGACCGTGAAGAAATCTCACTATGGCTGGAGTCAGACAAGTTGTCCAATTTAGCTGATGGTATAAGTGTGTAACCTGAATGAGAAAAGACAAGTGATCAAACTACGAAGCTAGAAAACAGGTGGGGGAATATGGTTGGGAGAGGACATTCCCTTACATGTTCATTCACTTACCTACCCACACCATTTCAATAAAAAAATAAAAGTCCATTATTACAGAGAAACTAGTCCAACTCTCTGCCCCAGGTTCCCACAGTTACAAGCGTTTAATAAAACAAGAGGCATTAAGTATGTTAAAAAGCATTAAACAGTAGACATCCAGAGGTTCTCAACTTCTTTTTAACTCTATGTCCCTGCCTTTGATTAACATAAGTATTTCATGGCCTGTCCTGAGTGTCTATATGCCACCTTGAGGGAGGGGCGAGAGAGAGGAGTTAGGACTCAAGGGAAATATTTTTGCTTTTTCAAACTACATATACTTACCCCAAATATTCTGCTTATGTCACCTAAGAAGTCTTGCCCCAAGTTGAAAGCCATTGTTTTAGTCTTTTTTTTAAAAATGGTTTTAGATTTAGATTTAGATTTAATCTTATACCTAGTTTTCTTTTTTTTCACCAACTTTGCAGAATGTTATATTGAACAGTTGAACTGACATAAGAATGTGTTATGAAAAAACACAGCATGTATCTGTTTTAAATTGTTTTACGACTTACTGCACAGCAGATAGAGCTAGAGAGGCTTTCTTTTACATTCTTTGGAATAAAGGGCTGGAGATGGAGTGAGGTGGAAGGATCCCAGAACAAATCTGCAGCCTGATAGTTAAATGTACGTAAGAGTTGGTTTTCCTAAGTGTTAGATAAGTAACCAAACTTCTTTTGCCTAGAAATAAAAGAAAATGCTATAGTAATCCCAGCAAGAAGCAGGCCTCAAAGAAGCAAACAATTATCTCTTGTTCACTGAGAGAATGTGGTTCAATAGGTGTATAACCTTTGGTTCAATCCCTGGGAATCTCAAGAAATATACGCTTTATCATCACATACATATAACTCAAGTCATTAAAAATGAGTTGAACAATAACCATATTAAGCAGTTTCATTGACTATTTCAAAGAGAAAAATTAAGACCCAGAAAATGTGTGATTTATATTTAGCTTATGGGGCCAGGCACAAGACAAGCCAGTCTCGATACCTACCCCAGTTCTCTGATCTGGGATCACTGCTATTTATCAGTGCCCATCAGGAATTAACTGGTCAATTTTTAAGATGTGATAAATAAATTAAATTTAAAGAAAATTAAATGAGATTCATAGATACAGAGAACAGACTGATGATTGCCAGATGGGAAGGGGATTGGGGGGGCTGGGTGAAAAAGGTGAAGATATTAATAGATACAAATTTGTAGTCACAAAATAGTCACAGCATAGTCACCAATATTGTAATAATTATGTACGGTGCCAGCTGGGTACAGGAAATATCGGGGAGGGGGAGCACTTTGTAAAGTATGAGATTGTCTACTCACTATGCTGTACACCTGAAACTAACACAAAATAATATTGAATGTAAACTGTAATAAAAAATAAAATTAAATTAAAAATTCTCAAAAGAAAAAAACAATCATTTCTCTTTTATCCTAGGGCCGTGGTCGGCAAACTGCAGCTCTCGAGCCACATGCGGCTCTTTGGCCCCTTGGGTGTGGCTCTTCCTAAGCCTTAGGCGTACCCTAATTAAGTTAATAACAATGTACCTACCTATATAGTTTTAAGTTTAAAAAATTTGGCTCTCAAAAGAAATTTCAATTGTTGTACTGTTGATATTTGGCTCTGTTGACTAATGAGTTTGCCGACCACTGTCCTAGGGGATAGACTGACTTTACTATTTTAAAAATGTCATCCCTATGTTAATTAATTCAGTATTTTGTAAATATAATCAATTTTAACAATCACCTGGAAAGCTTATTAAACCACACATTCTTGGGCCCATTTCTAGCAATTCATATTTATGAGGTCTGTGGTGGAACAGAGTAACTATATTTTCTTATAAGTTTCCCAGATGATCTTGAACCTGCTATGTTAGAACATCTCTTCCTCCTCCTCTAATCAGAGATATATGAAAAGTGGATGACAAAAAACGTGAATATGGACAAGATGCAGTTTGTTGCCTCCCCAACACTTCCTTTTCCTTTAGCTTGTGAGTAGTTGCAGGAAGAAGATAGCAATAAAATTCTCTGAGGTAAAGGTTCTGTCTGATAAGATTGTTATTGGGAGTTTTATTTTTTTTTAAAAAAAGTTTTTTTTTTTTATTTTTAGAGAGAGAGGGAGATAGAGACATCATTGAAAGAACTTCATTGATAGGCTGCTTCCTCCACGCCCCCTAGTGGGGATCGAGCCTGAAACCCAGGCATGTGCGCTGACCGGGAAATGACCTGTGACCTTCTGGTTCATGGGTCGATGCTCAATCATTAAGCTACATCGGCCAGGCTACTGGGGTTTTGATGTGAAAGTAAATACTGGTTCCTAAAAAGCCTCCTCTACTTATTTTACTCACAGACCCAGCTGCTTCTGGTAGGAAATAAAGCCAATTTCAGAATATAAGAATATCAAGTTTACTAACATTAATAATATAACATGTGAAAATAAGGCACTTTAATTCAATAGGACTTTGTTGCTAGAAGATCTGTAACACTAACATAAAATACTTATAAATAGTATTTTACTAAATTATTTGCCTAAGTTATATTTGACAAATAATTTAAACTCCATTTACATTAATAAATAAAAACAAACTTAACACTAAAATTAAGTAAGGAACTTCAGAGTGTCTTCCTCCTTTTAGACTTGAATCGCGTATAGAAGCAGTTTAAAGAGTTACTGTTGCCTCGGCTATTGGAATCGAAGATGTCACTCCCTTTCTCATCTTTGATGTTGCTTCCAACATCCTTCACTTTCTCAGAGCTTTCTGTAGCTTGATTGTGATCTGCGTCCTCTTTTTTGCTGTTGGCTAGTCTCTCCCTTGAAAGAGTTCTTTCCCTAAATCTTCTAAACGGGGATGTCATTCTTTTTCTGGCTGTGTTCTCACAGCTTGTCCTGTCTCTATTCTCCTCAGTGGCCTTCTTGGTCCTGTCTGTCCTTTGGGCTGTGCTCCTGGTAATTTGAAGGATTTTCTTTTGCAAGTAAACCCCACCTATGCCGGGGAAGCTGCGGCCACTGATCTCGGTGCTGGACTCACGGGGAGGGGATGAGGTGGGCCCTGAGAGGGGCAGCAGGATGCTGTGGTCAGATATGACACTGCCAACTGGAGGGAGAGATGCAAAAACCCTGTCATGTCAATTAATTCTTTCCAATTAATCACAATTAGCCTGGTTTATATAACAGTTCACTATTAAAAATTCTAACATCCCACCCCGCCACCAAAAGAAAAGAAAAAAAAAAAGCTAACATCTCGATAATATCTGAAAAATTGAAATCTAGCCACATATAAGTTAGTGCATGGAGAGCCTACTATATAGCATTACACAGCAGTCATCACAAGACAGAACACAGGATAAGGACTATCTTTATCAGAATAAGCTGGCAATGGAAGTAAGCAAAGCTGGTAAAATCATAAGCAAATATATTTTAAAAAGTATTTCTTAAAAGTAACTATCTCTAGAATATTCAGTCAGATTCTACTAAGAAAAAGTTTAGCAAAATCAGATAGGGCATAGAAATAGTATATACAATAAATGTTACAAAGCACAATTTCTGATCCTATTATATCTCCAAGGTGAAAGGTTGCCTTCTTTAAACACTGGGGAAGATAAAGGTTAAGGACTCTCGACTTCTCACTTTTTAAAAGTTCTTACTTGTTTATGGTGGGAGGATAGGTGAATAGGTGAAAGGGAATATAGTCAATAATATTGTGATAAGTTTGCCTGGCAACAGATGATTACTAAAATTAGGGGGCTGATCACATTGAAAGGTATGCAAATATCGAGTCACTGTACCATACACCTGAAACTAATATAATATATATACCAACTATACTTAAATACAATTTAAAAAAAAGAAAAAAAATTCTTACTTGTGTAATCTTCTTTAAAAATATGAAGATAGGCTTATTTTCTTAATTGATAGAAAATAAAGAACTAATTCCAAAGTTTAGCAAGAACTAGGAACTGTTCCTAATAATGTATGTTTAGTTTAATAGCGTTTTTGTTCAGTCAAGACTACAGGCAAAAATCTGTCTATGGAAATATACAGAAATATTCTGTGGGGGTTTTAAAGGAATATATGTAAGAACAATTGGAAATCGTTTAAGAGAAAAATTTCTTCAGGTTCTTAAGGATTCTCAACACGACTATGGCAGGCTCACAATAAACATCAGGGCTGCTTTTTGGTCACATGGGAAGACACATGGAGGAAAGACCTCTATTCCAGTAGTGAGAGTGAATTTTCAGTTGGGAGTAAGAGCAATAGGGAAATTCCTGTTCCTAATACCTCTCCCACAAGTCACACTGGTTAGAGAGCTGTCTATAGCGGGACTTCTGAACACCGAAGCAGTGGAGGGTGTAACATTGGACTTGGACTTGGTTGGAAAGTCTGTAAGGAGGATTCTCTGAAAGGTCAGAGGCCTCTGGGGATCCTGCCTAGACTTTCCCAAACAAGTCTGAGCCCCCAGGTGTTTTACTAGAATCTTTATGTTTATGTTTAGGTTTCAAAATGGCCTGGTTTGAAAAACACTACAGATGCAGGTCTTTTCTCAAGGAAGCGTACGGGCACTGTTCATTGGACCATCTGTGTGACTGGCCCTGCTCCCAGTCTCACTCCGCTTACCTAAAAGGACCACTGAGGCAGTAAAGCAATGAAGCAGACCCGTGAGCTTCACAAAATCATGTATGAGTTACACACAACAGGATCAGAAACTTGTGTTTTATTAATACACCTTTTATTTTTTTATTTTTTATTTTTTTTAATATATTTTATTGATTTTCTACAGAGAGGAAGGGAGAGAGATAGAGAGTTAGAAACATCGATGAGAGAGGAACATCGATCAGCTGCCTCCTGCACATCTCCTACTGGGGATGTGCCCGCAACCCAGGTACATGCCCTTGACCGGAATCGAACCCGGGACCTTTCAGTCCGCAAGCCGACGCTCTATCCACTGAGCCAAACCGGTTTCGGCAAATACACCTTTTATATATACTCTGTCTTATCTGATTTTTACAAAGCTTTTCTTAGTAAAATCCAAATGAAAATTCTGGCCAGTCTCAGCTATGTGAACGGGGGAAAGGGCAGGTCAGCTATGGAGCTATGTTGCCCTGGGGTAGAAACTGGGAAAGAGAAGAGACACTCCAATTTTCTGAACACTTACCAGGTATCAGCCTTTATATATGTTATTTCATTTAATTCTCATATAAGTTCCCTAAAATAGGTGGTTTCCCCCCATTTTACAGATAGGAAACCTGGCCTTATAAATCAGTTGCTTGTAGTGACACAGCAATAGGAGGGGACAGAATCAGGATCCAAATCAGGTCTGATATCACTGTACCACACTGCTGCCACCGAGGAAGCAAAAATAAGAAAAGGCCTCTAAAAGTGAGATGAATCTTAGGACACAGGAGCTGAAGAAAGCTCTGGAAACTTTTCTTCCTGCTAGAATTCATAAGCTTGTCTTCCCTGATCATGTACTATGATTATTTCAAGATGTAATTCTTTTACATCAGTGAAGACAATGCCAGGACTAAGGAGCCTTTTCCACAGGGCACACACAGGGTGTGGGTGGGCCAATGTAAAATATATGCACACCATTTAGAATGCTACATGCTACCATAATGACGTCTCCAGGCACACTGCCCCGGCGAGTCAAGAGCAGCTTAGTCTGAATTACGAAAACATGCAAATGAACAAGAGTGGTTTCAGATTTTTTACCTCAAGAGGTCCTATATAAATATAAATGTAAAAATCCATAAGGGTACTGGTTATTTTAAATCCTGATTAATAAAAAGGTAATACTCCATTACTAAAGAAAGGAGTGCATCAACCTAAATATTTGTTTCTTGTGGGAAAACATTGGACTTGGTTGGAAAGTCTGTAAGGAGGATTCTCTGAAAGGTCAGAGGCCTCTGGGGATCCTGCCTAGACTTTCCCAAACAAGTCTGAGCCCCCGGGTGTTTTACTAGAATCTTTATGTTTATGTTTATGTTTCAAAATGGCCTGGTTTGAAAAACACTACAGATGCAGGTGTTTTCTCAAGGATGCTTACCCTGCTGATAGTATCTAGAGCAGCGGTTCTCAACCTGTGGGTCGCGACCCCTTTGGGGGTCGAACGACCCTTTCACAGGGGTCACCTAAGACCATCGGAAAACACACATATAATTACATATTGTTTTTGTGATTAATCACTATGCTTTAATTATGTTCAATTTGTAACAATGAAAATACATCCTGCATATCAGATATTTACATTACGATTCATAACAGTAGCAAAATTACAGTTATGAAGTAGCAACGAAAATAATTTTATGGTTGGGGGTCACCACAACATGAGGAACTGTATTAAAGGGTTGTGGCATTAGGAAGGTTGAGAACCACTGGGCTAGAGGTTAATTTTAGTTCAAGCTGTTGTTACAGTAAAAGCCTAAGGAGGCAGGCGAACAGGGCTATTTGCTCCTAAAGAAAAACAGCTCCTTAGCCCTCTCTTTCACAGAAACATGTGTCAGAGTAGTCATCCATCTGTCATTCAGGGTCTGCTGGTCAGTCCCAGCAGTTTCTTTTCCTAAATCTTGTTGTTGGTTAAAAACAATTTCTTGTAGAAATTCTTACTTTCAAATACTCCAAAGAAATTTTAAATAATGGGAAATTTGAATAGTAGCATCAAGAATCTGCACACAACAAAACAACTGTGAATTCTTACAGGAGTCCTACCTAATACCTGGAAAGTATATGAACAATTCAATCCAAAACATGAAAGTTCAAAAAGAAACAGAAGTTACGCTTTCCTTTATGTTTTGTTATTAAGACAGATCGAAAAACAAAATATATTACAAGGTATTGTTTGGTAAAGTAAGAACTAGCTTGACCTGTTCTGCCTGTCTTACCTTTGCGTGGGGAACCTTGAGGAGATCCAGGAGGACTGGAATGTAAGGACGATGTCATGGAAACAGTGTCTTCCGAATGTTTCTTACCACTCATTTCTTCAGTTGTTCCTAAAACTTTCTGAGGTGAACTTGTACCTAAAAATAAAGCCCCCAAAATAAGCATCATTTCACAATTAAAATGTCGGTAGTTGCCTAAATTACTACATAACTAAAGCCATGATGCACAATGGCTAGTGTATTCAATTGAAATGTGTAAATGACAAACGGGGACTAAATGACTGGGTAATGGAATACAGAGATTCTCACCTCTAGGTTATTTGTTCAAATTCAGCCAGTTCAGCACAGACCAGATTATAATAGTTCTTTTTTGTTTGTTTTGTGACATAAGGGAAATTGATTTCACAGTCTAAGTCCCAACCCCCACAATTGACACACTTGTTGGAAGTCTTAGCAGAGAAGGCATGGATTCAAACTCTTCCCTCCCCTCTAGAGGTGGCCTCTCCAAGTCAGGGCGAGGCATGTGACAGGAGCAGTGTAGGGATGTTGGCACTGTGACTACCTGTGGTGCATCTGTGCTGTGGGAATACAGAAGAGGCTGCAGGGCTGCCAGTCCAGCCCTTTTCAAGAGCACTAAATTCACACTACAGGAGAGAAGTAGACAACAGAAAGAATCATGAATTTATAGAAGAATAGTATGGAGCCCACTGGAAACATTCCTGCAAAGTTCTATCATTATTCTTGTCCCAACAGCTGGTCCTGTTTAGTATAGATCAAACTTAGCAATGGTTTCCTTATATTCACATTTTTGCATTCATCTCTAAGAAATGTCAAAGAGCTACTGACACTGTACTCAACCAGTAAAGTTAAGCCCAACTTTGACAAGGATTCTGCAGTAACAAGCAGCCCTATAACACTGAAACAATTCAAATTACAGCAAACTCACACTGCTTTTACTTAATAATGCCATCCTATATAATAAAAGGCTAACATGCAAATTGTCCCCTGGATCAGAGTTTGACCAGGGGGCGGGGCCAGCCCACCAACTGCCTGTAGTCCCTCCCCCCTGCCAGCCTGATCGGCCCTGATTGGGGCGGGCAGGCTGAACCCCACCCATGCACGAATTTGTGCACCAGGCCCCTAGTTTTAATATAAATGCATTTATTATATAGATAATGGCCATATTACAACAAGAGGGAAGGGGACTACCTGGTACCTGTAATAATGCATCTCAGGTGATGACATCTAAGTAAGAAACCAGAGCCAGACCTATCCCATTTCTTACTCCTACAAACAAATCTATCAACTTCAATTTTGCATCCAATTCTCTCTTCATTTTCACATCCTCCAAACTAGTTCAGGCTCTGAGCAACTTCCAGTTAATTGTTACACCAGTTTTCCATTCAGGCCTCAATCTCCAGTCTCACTGCACCCCCTACTCTTGTTCTCCAACATGAACTGGACCTTCCCTTGCTCAAATCTCTTCGATAGCTGCCCACTGGCAACTTCCCTTTAGCATGCCATTTTATAATTTCAGCATGCTTATGACTTCACTTCTCTTCATCCTTGGTGGCTGTTTAGCACAGCGGTTAACAAGCAAGGACTCTGAGCCAATTAGCCTGGGCTCAACTCCCAACATTTACTGGTAATGTGTAAGTTACTTAGACCCTCTATGGCTTCCCCTGTTGAGTGAGAGTAGTTCCTATCATAGTGTTCTTATAAAGATTAAATGCATATAATATATAAAGTTAGCAAAGTGCTTAGAACTGTGTCTGACCCTCAGTAAGTGCTAAGTGTCAGCTTTAATTATTACTGTCGCAACACTCTTTCTACAGCTTAGTACCCAGAGGCAGCTGCCTTAGCTCCTTGGAGATACTAAGGTTTTCCTCTGCCTGAAGCAACTTCTCTGGAATCTTTGCCTAATTACCTCTTTCCTGATCAACCTTTAAGCTCTGCTTAGGTGTTATCTCCAAAAAGCCTTCTTTGAAACTCTACCTTACCTCTGTCTGCCCTAAAAGCTCTCCCTCTTCTGTTGTTTTATAGGTTCCGTACAGACCCCTAGCATAAGAGCTAACTCATTCTATTGAAGTTATCTGTTTGTGTGTCTATGTCACCATCTGGCAAAAGTAGACACATTTCTTTTCAACTCTGGATTGCAAAACCAAATCAAATTAAGTTCACATTTCACAAGTTCTACTAAATATGTCCTGTGTATAATGCATTGACTAAGTAATAATATTAGGAACTAAATCTAATTGGGCTTCCCACCTATAAAAGCTAAAATAATGATATTGTCAAAACCACAAATAAAAGTAATTTTGATAATGTCTACATGGCTTAGCAGAGGGGAAAAAAGTATGGCTTATACTATATGTACTATACATGCTCTTGTCTTCTAACCAGGGTTTTCAGAAGTAGTCTTTAATGAAAAATCAACATACAGTCACTTTTAGAATAAGCAACTTCATTCTTATAGGTTGCATTAATTTGCATTATGTAATTGATTAAATGCACCTTTGACTGTAGTACCCAAGTGTATTGCTGTTAGGTTTTTGGTTGATATGATTATAGGAATCCCAATGTTAGCATTTAAAATATGTATGCTGTCATCAAATACCTACAGGCAAAATGAAACATTTTAAAATTCATGAGTGATGATTACATTACACAAAATACTATAGCTGATTTCCTGAGCACTTACATTAGTAATTATTTTTCATTCCAACTCCCCTGGGAATTTTAATTAAATGAATGTGATATTAATTGTGAATACTCACTCAATGTGACAGGGTCTCTTGATTGCCCCTTCTTCCTGGTGGGGTGCAAATTAACAGCTGGCACTTGAAGCACCTGGCTTACTCTGTGGGGCTGATGTAGATGCGCTTTAGCTGTTTGGCCAGCTGACCTCAGAGGCACTGGAGACATTTCTGATGATTTGGCTAATCTTTTTTCAGTTAAATTCTTGGTCACTAAAAGAAGAGAGTAAGAAACACATCATTCTGCACTTTTAGGCAAGGTTATTACCACTGACAATAAATGGCTGCTTTAAAACCACCTTTTCAACACAAAAAATAGATTAATTTTCCTAAAAATAACTTCACATAAGTATATTATTTCTAAAATTTTTGTAGAATTATAGTTAATTTTACTTCCTAAATACTTTTTGAATCCATTAACTTCATTAGCTCCACCTCCACCATCACTTTAAAATCTTATCTATAGTATGTATGTATGTATGTGTGTGTGTGTGTGTGTGTGTGTGTGTATATATTTATTTATTTATTTATTTATTTGTGGGACAGATCCTGTCTCAGGTTTCTTTGAACAAATAGCAGAGGAGGACACTAAGCCCATGCAGACAGCAGCCCAGGGGTCACACCAAGCCGGCTTTAATAGGTTTGATGTAGAAAGAATCACAGCAATAAAACATACTCTAAACCAGTGGTTCTCAACCTTGGCTGCGCATTAGAATCACCTGGGAATCTTTTTTAAATCCTGATTTCTGGGCCTCATCCTCCGGAAATTCTGTTTCTTTGTTACTAATGTTGTGGCCTCACCCCATAATAAAGAAACAGAATTTCCGGAGGATGAGGCCCAGAAATCAGGATTTTAAAAAGATTGCCAGATGATTCTAATGTGCAGCCAAGGTTGAGAACCACTGCTCTAAACCCTTGCTTAATGAAGAACACCTTGCTCAAATAGTAATAAATGAGACTCAAACTATGTCTTCATCCTTCATAGGTGATCTTTCCATTATACTCCTTTCCTTTTCCTATTAGAAGTGTTCAATATATTAATTTTAGAACAACATTTACTGAATGTTACCCTATGTTTTAAAAGTCAAATACCATGCCATTTATCAATCTTAGGGTCAACCTATGATGGTTTCCATTTCCCTCCATTAGAAACACAGAAATAGAAATCTGAACGTTCCCCCTCCAATTTTCTGTCAACATTTATTACATTCTATGCTTCTTATTGGTATACACATACCCACACACACCATCCTATATAATAAAAGCCCAGCAACCATAACGGCAGAACGACCAGAACGACCACTCGACCAGTCACTATGAGGTGCACTGATCACCTCTTGGTACCTTTCCCCGGCCAGCAGGCTCTGATCGCTGATGGTGAACTGGGGACTGGGGTGGGTGGCAGCGGGGGGCGGGACTGGCGAGTAGGCGGAACAGGCTGACCTCTTGGTCCCTCCCTCTGGCCCGTAGGCTCCAGTCGCCGATGGCAAATGGGGAACCGGGGTAGGTGGTGGGGGGTGCAGGTGGCGCCAGGTTAAGGCCCCCGCCCTGCAGGTCGGCCCACACAGAGAGCGACCTGAGGCAGGGGTAGGGCTGGTGAGCAGACGGGAACGGCTGATCTCTGGGTCCTTCCCCTGGCTGTCAGGCTCCCATCGCCGGATGGCGAACCAGAGTGGGTGGCGGCGGGGGGTGGGGCCAGCTGCCGGCAGCTGGGGAAGATGGCCCTGATCGCAGGCTAGGCCTAGGGACCATACCCACGCACAATTTCGTGCGCCAGGCCTCTAGTTCACTTATAATTTAACGTCATCTTTATTTTGTTTACAACAAACACAGTATATTGTATCATCTCTGATTTCTGTTTTCACAACTCATAATTTCCTTGACCCAGACACACATGCATTGTTTTGTACTTGAAAAAAAATTTTCAATTTTGAGAATAGGCTCTCTTTTGCCCATTATGTATTTTATATATTAACAGTATCAGACTGTGTCGGATTTTTCTTGTTTTACCTTACTTACTGACACCTATGATATACCTATGATCTCTATCTGTGTTTTAATTAAATTTATTGCATCTTCTATTTGGTAAATACCATCCATGACATTTTTCAAAAGGTAAACATTTCATTTATTTTTACTATGAATTTAGGGATGAAGGTAAAAATGTTCTGAAACAGACGGGCTTCAGTATAATGTTCCTGTTTTTACAAGAAGACTTTTTAAGGCTTTTAAAAGATGAACTACTTACCCCTCTATCTCTTCCCTAAGGTAATCAGGAATGGATGGAATTCTCTGATTAACAGGATAACATGATGCTTGGCTTAAGTCAGTAATCTTTTGTGAGTGAAAGTTAATTTTCTTGGTACTTCAGCACAACTCTAGAGAAGTAAGTTTTTATTTTATTGTGCAATTAGTGCACATAAGAGAAAACTTGTACTCACAGGTACCATATGCAGGCTCCAACTGCAATGACATCATTTGGAACTTCTCCTCATCTGTCTCCACATCCAGACTGGAAAGATACTGCTTCACCTTCCTTGCCATCTGGGCGTCCTCGTATAGCTTCTTAGCGTTAAGCAGAGAGCTACGACGTGCTCTTTTTTTGTGAGCACCCCCCTGAACATCTAGCATGTTTGAGTTTGTACTGCCTTGACTCAATGACCTGTAAGTATATGGAGACCACAACAAGGGGCTGTAAAGATGAGAATTAAACATGGCAGGCTGAAATGAAAATGATTTTGTTCTGTTAATACTATTTATTGCATGCTGATGTAAATGAGTTAAAAGATGGATAGCATTAATGTGAAGTAATATGGCATATAGGGCAATCTCCTAAGTTTTAAGATTTGGCAAAGTGCAGAATTCAAAAGAATAATTCTTCCCTTAGCAATGAATTTAATCAGACTTGTGTTTGTGCCTGTGTAACCCATGGCACAACTGTGAAGAGTAAAAGCATCCTCTGATCCTGGTGCTCACCCCTCCTCTGAATATATGGCAAGAGCCAGAGTCAGGACAAGTCCATCCACAGCCCGATCTCTGCACCAGGGCTCTTTAGCATGCAAGTTTCTAGAGCAGCTCTGCTTGCCTGTGCTGCTTTGGACATGTATGGCCATCACTGTACCAGTCTGCAGCAGGCCCACTCTTGGCATGCTGACCAATTTTACAAGTATCCAGATTTTGGCCAAAATTCAAAGAGATAACCAGTAAGAAAAATAACAGGATTTATACTCAATTCAATATAGTCAGAAATGCAAGTAAAAGCTACTCAATACTTCCACTCACATATTATATGGTTAGGCAATATGTGGGTCTAGGACTGAGGGTCTAGGACTGGGGGTCTGATGTGATGGAACTGCAAGCTGGGCAGAAATAACCACAATTCAAACTAGCTTTAGTTTCACCCAATTCTACTCGTTTTGACCAACGCCCTTGTACAATGACTAAATCTAAAACCAGAGGAAAACTCGAAACACAATGCTATTTGTCTTTTCTAACAAGGCAAGCCAACATGAGGTTTTATGATGAATTTGATTTTAAAGGCAGTTGCCATTCCAAAATAACAAAGGTATCTATGGGTTTTCTAAATTAGCCTAATATTTACACAAAAACATTCCAAATACATAGACCACAACTATATAATAATTTGTTCTTCAGTATTCATATAATAAGTTTAAAATAGACACTAAAATACTAGTGTTTTCATTGTAAATTAAGTGAAACAAAGTTGTAAATGTGTTATATATTTTTTCTTTCAGAATTTTAAGATCTTTGAAATAGGGTGTGTCTTACATTTTGATGGCAACTTTCAATTGCTATTGGTTAGGCAGAAACTGTGACATAGTGTGACCGATTATACTTGCAGAAAACTTCAAAGCTTGCAGAATGGTTTGGAGGAAAATCCAATGACATTAGTGAATTACTCTATTAACCCAGGAACCAAATTATTTTAAGGAGGTAGTGAATCTGACAAGTCCCAAAGCAGGCATTAAAAGGAGACTAGCTGTATTTGCAAAGCCAGCTTAAGAGCAGTAGCTTTTACCTCTTTTATGACTTATTTAAAAAAATGTTGCATTACTAACACATTTGATGGCAATTTTGTTTGGGGGGGAAAAAATCCAGAAACTAATAACTCTAAAAGTGATTTAGAAGATGTATATTCTTAATATGAAGAAGTTTTAGAAAGACTTAACCAATTTAATTTGCTTATATTCCTTTTTATGAATATAAAAGACTATGTGATAAAAATACATACTTAAGTTTATATAAGAGCTCTTTTATCAAGTAGAAGTTTAATGGTACCTAAAATAATTATGTCCAACAACTAATGTCTTAGATTCAAAGAAATGCAGTTAAATCAAGCCCCATAATTTAGAAGCACATTTTAGTACAAATATTTAATACTTTTAGTTGACATTGACACACATACACACACACACACAACAAATCAAACATACATACAACATTTCTAATAAATGAAAACACTGTGATAAATTGACAACAAAATGTCTTCTACTTCCAAAACAGAAAATGCTCTGATGCAAAGGTGTAAATACCTAGTGTCTGCTTGCATCATATAGTAAAGCTGAATCATCAGTGAATGTGGTGCATAAAGCATTCAAACACCCCAAATTCCCACTATGATATACTGACCAAGTCCTCCTCTTCATAACAGTAATGCCAGAATTCAATATCTATTATCAGTGAGAAGAACCAGAAAAGACCAATGCATAAATGTATAATACAGAAGAAAACACATGAGCAACACACAAAGAAGGGAGGAAAAGGCAGAAGAAAATTCAAGTTTACCAAACTTCAACAGAAAACAAGACCACAAACAAGACAGAACTCAAGTAAGTGGCTTATCAAAAATTCTTCTAACATGTAATAAAAACATCTAACTTCATGATTCATTATAATCTTAAATTAATGAAATTCTTCTTATGTAATCCTCTCATCCACAAACACTATCTCTTTCTTTTTCTTTTTTAAAAAAAATATATATCTTTATTGATTTCAGAGAGGAAGAGAGAGGAAAGAGAGAAACATCAATGATAAGAGAGAATCATTGATTGGTTGCCTCCTGCATGTCCCCTACTGGGGATCGAGCCCGCAACCCAGGCATGTGCCCTTGACCGTAATCGAACCTGGGACCCACTGAGCCAAACCAGTTAGGGCCACCATCTCTTTCTTCATCAAAAAACAAAAGGACTATGTAAGATGTTTTACTAGATCCTAAAAATTCTATTCTAAATAGTTATCTAGCTACATATAGGCAGAGATCTGAACTTACTTGAACAAAAGGTGGCAGTTTCTGATTCTATTACAGTTTTAAGAGAGATAAGGGAATCTTTAAAAGTAGGAGAAATTTAAAATAAAATTCAATCAATGCTGTAACTTTCATGGTATTACAAGATCTGAGGAATTAAAGTCATCTTCTATTTCAATTACTTACTAACTCAATTTTATAGTACAGTTAGGATAAGGACTGTCTCTTTTTGGAAAACTGATGTCAAAACTTAACCTTTATAACCAAATCTCTTATCCATTTTTATACTTACATATTTATTTTTATAAAACATGACATTTGAATAAAAGAAAATGGTGTGGACTCTGGAACCAGATTACCTAGGTTTGGATCCACCACTAGTGAGTTGTAAGAATTTGGACAACTTTAACTTCCCTGTCCGTACCATGGGAATAACAGTATTCATCTCATAGCATGGTTTAAATAATTAAATAATTCATATAACGTGCTTAGAACAATGTATGGCAAATAGTAAGCACACAACAAATATTTCCTATCATCATCATCATCATCATTAACAAAAGAAAGGGACTTTTGGAACGTCAATAATAAAAAAGTAAAGAAAATAAAAGCTAGTTCTATCACTGCTTTCACCTAGTTAGCAAAAGGCATTTGTCAGGAATGTAGGCTGACAGGGTTAATAGGACGCATGCTCTTTTATGTGCGTGCATTAATGAGAAGGATGAGTATATGTTAAGAGTTGCACAACCTTCATTCCAGTTGCATTCATCTCTACACTTACCCCAGACTCCGCCACCTCTTCTTCCTGTAAGCAAGAGCCACAAACATTGAAGCATGTGTGTGAAAGGAAAGCACAGAAAAAAGACAACAGGTGAGACCAGAAAAACTCTGAAGACAGAACAGAACAGAAACATTTACTAGGAAAAATGGCAGCTTAGCAGTAACATGTCTTTAATGGAATGCAGAGGAATAATGATAGGTACTAAAAGTCAAAAACCCCTACAATATTTTAAAAATATGCTTTTAGACCATATTCTATTTTAAACCTAATTCATTTAGAGGCTTATGTTAATAAGAAGCTTAAGGGAAAACATTTACTTACTAAAATTGTAAAACCTAGGTATTTAGGGAAACCTTAAATTGTGGAATAGAACTTTTAAATATATTTTAGAGAGCATTTTTGAGCCACTTATTTAAGTGACAGGATGAAATGTTAAGAAACAGATTTATAATTTCACTTTTAAGTGCAGAAATTTCTCTGACAAGTTCAACAACATTCAAATTTTATAAGAAATTTGAACCAGGAAATTCAACCTAAAAAGTAAAAATATATCAAAATTTTTATTCTCTTTTTTAATATATTTTATTGATTTTTTACAGAGAGGAAGGGAGAGGGACAGAGACTTAGAAACATCGATGAGAGAGAAACATCGATCAGCTGCCCCTGCACACTTCCTACTGGGGATGTGCCCGCAACCAAGGTACATGCCCTTGACCAGAATCGAATCTGGGACCCTTGAGTCCACAGGCTGACGCTCTATCCACTGAGCCAAACTGGTTAGGGCTAAAATTTTTATTCTTATTTATTTAGCCTGATGCATGAAGATTCGTGCAAGAATGGGCCTTTATTCCTCTGGCTTTCCGCCTTCCCACCTTAGCTCCAGCCCGGAGCCGTCTTTCTGCCTTCCCACGCTGCCCAGAGGCCTGGAGCAGCTGGGGCGGGGCAGAATGACTGTGTCCCGCCCCGCCCCCAGCCACTTGGCACCTGCATATGTAAATTAACCCGCCATCTTTGTTGGGTTAATTTGCATACTCACTCCTGATTGGCTGATGGGCGTCACGAAGGTACAATCAATTTGCATCTTTCTCTTTTATTAGTGTAGATATTTTTGTACCCCTCCCAACCCCCCACTGGCCTTAGTGCACCAAATGAGTTCTAGTGTGGGCAGTCCAAGATTGTTTTTCAGACAGTAAATTGATTACTGTTAAAATAAAGGGGTTACTTTGTCCACACTACGTAATATGCACCACCAAAATGGACAATTATTTGTTTAAGAAAAATAGTACATTTTAGTACTGGATGGCAAAACTGACTCAGGAAAAGTTCAGTGCAATCTAATTATAAATGTTTCACTTTCTTCTATATTATATTCCATTTAGCCCAGGCTATTCCCAAGAAAATAGCTGAGTTTATTAATTTCTTCTTCAGGTTTTTCATTCTTTGTTCATTTCTGAAGCATAGCTGTACTTAGTATATTATTAACTGGTCTGGCAGAGTTGCAGATTCATTATGTCTTCAGGAGCCAGAGTGCTAACATGTATGAGAGTAAATGAAGGCCCATGTAAGACAACATGCAGTGGTGGGGCCACTGTACAGGGACATGCTACAACAATAAAACTTAAAAAACAAACAATGAAATAAACAAACCCTCCTCTAGATTTGCTTTGGTCCCTGTTCCTTACTGTTTTCCGCTTACACATTGTTAAGCAATCACATCTCTCATTACAGTTAGTGATTTGCAGGGGAGATCTGACACCCATCCTCCATAGCTTGAGAATCTCTTAACTAGATCAACCAACCACCAGAGCAACTACTTACAAAAACAAAGGCCTCTGAACAGTAATTTAAATAAAATAAAACAAAACCAAAAAACCAATCCTGACACACACTAATTCTGTTTGGTTATAAAAATTCCATTTCTGATTTTTAAAGAACCAAATATTTTTGTTTTCTTACTAAACTGTATTTATTAAGTAAAAGGAATTGTGTCTGCCTCTGTAAATATTTCCTTTCTAAAGCTCTTTATGTACTGAAGCTACCCATACTCATAGGCCCAGAGGAAAATTAGGCCAAAAATTAAAGCTCTACCATTTATTCTGAAAATTATAAAAATTACTGGGAACAGAATAACAACATACTTTATGTTTAAGTTCCATAGAATTTGAGGAAGTCTTTGTTGTTACATTAAAAATTAGTTTTACAAGGCATTTTTAGAAGATAAGTTTAATATGGACGACTACTACTACTAAAATAATATTTTCCATTTTTATTAAAGAAGGAACATGTTTAAGTCTGCACTTTCTAAATTCTGTTTAAAGAACTTACACATAAATAAAAAGGAATACCATGACTTGAGAAAAAGAATGTATTTTAGAAGAATAAAGTATGACTTAGCTGGAACTAGAACTAAAAAATATTCAGTAAAAATAAAAGACATATGCACATTAATATTTTACAAATTAGGTTAGAAATCAGATGAAAGCATTTGTCCTTTGTGGTAACTTCAGTAAAAATCAGCAACTTATAATTAAGTTAGCTAATATTTTAGGTAACAATAACAATACAGAACTATCCATGTGCTTAAAAATGTAATGCAGAACTAGGGTTCAAATCTCAGAAAATTATGTAATCCTGGGCATTATTACCTAACTCTCTTAACTTCAGTTTCTTCATATGTAAAAGGAAGGTCAATATTACCTACCTTTAAAGGTTACTGTGATAAATGATTACCTTGAGATTGTATAAAGCACTTTGTACAGCATATAACAATGGTAAATGGTCAAAAAATGACATATTATTATTTTGAATATATCACTTTTGATGCCACTCTATAACACTTTACACACTTCACTACCATACCTCTGTCGGAACATCATAGCTGGGTCCATGTTAGCAGAAGTCATCCTAACAACTTGACGGATTTCCTTGGCAATCATTCTTAGCTTCTCAAAATTTACTAAGCCATCTACTTTGGAGTCATTTCCTATGGAATAAAAGTAAAAGTTTATAATTTTCAAAATTAAAGTATCTATATAAAGCTAGCAGAAGTCAATTTATTATTCTTGGGGGTATAAATAACTTTCTTTCTCAAACTGTCACTCTTATTTTTTAAAATTGATAAACCATAGATGGTTCAACCCTGCTCCCAGGGAATGAACTATAGGGAGGAATTGTATTTCTAGGAGGAGTAACAATTATGAAGTGACAACAGCATAGCTTCTAAAACCAATTCCATTATGTTAGAGGCACACTAGTAAAATGAGCAGCTCCTCAAATCGAACTCTCTAGTTGCTCAGCCCACTTCTCAGGCAGGTACCAGCATTTTCTCTTTTGGGCAGTGAACTTTTTAACTAGAGGTCACAAAGAATGAGCTTTGGGCTTAATTAACCCAGTGAGTTTTCTCTGGTTTACAATACTTGGAAAACTGTTAAATGAGTTGTTAACATTTAAGAAGTAGAAGATATCCCATGAAAACAAGAATTTCTGCCTTCTCTTGAAGATAAAAAGGGAAAGGATTAGATGAGAGATTAAATAATAGTAGGTCTGTTTTCCCAAATGGCAATAATTAGTTAAAATTACGAGGTGGCTGGCTCACAAGGATAAACATTTTTTAGTCTGCCATTCATTTTGCCTCTCCCAGAACTCGAATTTACAATCATGACTTTAATAATTTAATACAAATTTGCTCATTTATAAGCTTCATAATTTTTGTTTCTGTACTGTTAAGTAGTTCTTCGAGAATAATTCACATAACTTTCAAAATGGTTTACTTTTCTTTGAAAAGAGTAGGTAGAAGACCAGACTAAAAGCTCATTTGTTGGCTCGCCCAGTTCAAACCACAAGACAAAAAGTATGTTTAAAGAGCAATCTGTCTACAGCAGTGTTGTTGTTGGAAGAGGAAGAGAGAGATCACCCCCCAGTGGGGATCAAGCCTGCAATCCGGGCATGTGCCCTTGACCGGAATTGGACCTGGGACCCCTTAGTCTGCAGGCCAACGTTCTATCAATTGAACCAAACCAGCTAGGGCTGACACCTGTCTTTAACAGTTAGCATAACCCCACTTATCTCCCATGGCAGCCCTTGAGGTGCCACTGTGGAATTCCAAGTCTGTGAAGACAAGTTTGAGAACCATATAGGTCTGGAAGTGGCCCCCTGTCTCATAGTAAACAGCACCTATACATTGGACATACACATTGTTCAGGGTTTCAACATGAGTTGGAAACAAAATAATCTCCAAAAGTGCTTTCAAGTCACCTAAATATATTTTGAGGGAGCATGTCAAAGCATCAAAAGATCTTATGAAAAAGGAGTGATAATGAAAGGGGGGGCAGTAAAATTAGGTAGTCTGAACAACACTTTTGCTGAGAAATATTAGAAAATTTGGACAAAAGCTGAAAATAAATGTTTTAAGGCATCAAAAGATATTCAGGCAGTGAAGATCTGAACGAATGAAGGTCTGGGGCAGGTTTAGCATTTCCCATCTGCTGATTTCAGTAAAGGGGGATGCTGAGCTGCAAAACTGAGCAGTGCCACCCTGTCTTTTGAGGTTGGAGGAAATAAGTCCAGGTAAGCCTCCAATGCTTTGGGTTGAGATCCTGAAGGGCTATATCCTGGGGACTAAGAATGAACTGAATGAAGACTAGAGTAAAAGTTCAATGTTAAACTATCTCAAAATGCGAAAATGAAGTAATTTTGGATTGCTAGACCCCCTAGCTGCCTGGCAGAAGCAAGGTATCAATTCTCTCTGGAGGAATGAAACATCATCTGAAACCAGATTATTTCTGTAATTTTTTAATACACAACATTTATTTGGTCAAAAATAACCAGGGCCATCAGGACAAAAGATAATATAAATTAAAATAAAAAGGACAACAGAAAGGGACCCACAAAGGATCCAGATTATGGAGTTAATAGTGATAGACTTAAAATAACTATATTGAATATGTGTAAAGATATAAAGACAACAACACTGAGAACTCTGGCAGAGATCAAGAAGATAAAAAAATAAACAATTTGTAAACTGTAAAACTGGAAAAACACACACAGAGGAATTAGGAACTCACTGATAAATTTAACAGTAAATTAGACATAGCTAAAAAGAGTATTAATTAACTGAACAACAGGTTGGAAGAAAATATCCAGAATAAAGCATGGTGAGACAGAAAGATGAGAAATACATAAAACAGTATCCTATCTAATAAAAGAGAAACATGGTAATTAGCTGTACCTCTGCTACCCTTCCCATTGGCTAATCAGGGCAATATGCAAATTAACTGCCAACCAAGATGGCAGCCGGCAGCCAGGCAGCTTGAAGCGAACAGGGAGGCTTGCTTGCTTCAGTGATGGAGGAAGCCAAGCTTCCCCACCTGCCTTGCCGGCCTCTGAGCCGCCACTCTAAGAAACATTGTAACAAATATAGAAGCAAAACCAAACCCCAGAAACCTGCTTTAGTGAGCCAGGCTTCAGCCAGCAGGACCGCAACATTGTTTCAAATACAGAAGGTAAACAAAGGCCAGATACCTGCTTTCAGCAGCCGAGGCCTCAGAGCTAAAGCTGGCCCAGAATAAAAAAAAAAGAAAAAAAGAAAAAAAGGAGCGGTTAGGAGCTTCAGTCACCCGCCAGCCTGAAAACGGCCCTCAGCCCCTCACCCAGACTGGCCAGGCACCCCAGTGGAGACCCCCACCCTGATCCAGGACACCCTTCAGGGCAAACCAGCTGGCCCCCACCCGTGCACCAGGCCTCTATCCTATATAGTAAAAGGGTAATATGCCTCCCGGCACCGGGATCAGCGGAGCAGCGAGGCCTCCCGGCACTGGGATCAGCATAACAGGGGGCAGCGCCCAAACCCCCTGATCGCCCTGCGGCTCTGTGTGTGACAGGGTGCGGCGCCCCAAACCCCTGATCAGCCCTGCTCTGTGCCTGATAGGGGGGAGCTCCCCAACCCCCTGATGGGCCCTGCTCTGTGCATGACAGGGGGGAGCTCCTCAACCCCCTGATCGGCCCTGCACTGTGTGTGACAGGGTACGGAGCCCCAACCCCCCTGATGGGCCCTGCTCTGTGCATGACAGGGGGCAACGCCCCAACCCCCTGATCGGCCCTGCTCTGTGCGTGACAGGGGGTGGCGCCGCAACTTCCCTATCGACCCTGCCTTGAGTGTGACAGGGGGCGGTGCCCCAACCCCCCAATCGGCTGTACCCTGAGCGTGACTAGGGGTGGCATCGCAACCTCCCGATCCGCCCTGCTCTGTGCATGACAGGGGGCAGCGCCCCAACTCCCCAATCGGCCCTGCTCTGAGCCTGACCAGGGGCTGCACCTAGGGATTGGGCGTGCCCTCTGCCACCCGGGAGCAGGCCTAAGCCAGCAGGTCATTATCTCCTGAGGGGTCCCAGACTGTGAGAGGGCACAGGATGGGCTGAGGGACCCTCCCCCCCCCCCCCCCAGTGCACAAATTTTTGTGCACCGGGCCTCTAGTATGAGATAATAGGGGAAGTAACTAGGTCTAACAGAAGTGAAATAAAAATCCCTAAAAGAAAACTCAGGAGGACAATTAAAAACTTGAAGACAGAATGAGAGGATTTTTCAAAACTGATGAAAAATATCAAAATGCAGGTTTCAGGATCTTTTATAAACAAGTCAGAATTAAAACAAAACCAAAATCCCACACCTGATCACATCATAGCAAAAGTAGAGAAAAACACAAATAAAGAGAAGAACACTATAAAGCAGCTATGGGCAAAAGAGCAGAATACAGTCAAAGAAACAGCAAGTAAGACTGACAATTGACTTCTTAACATTAACAATGGGAGCCAGAAGACGGAATGTTATCTCACCAAAATTATGCTTTAAGTATGAATATGAAGTAAATATATTTTCAGCTAAACAAAAACTAAGATATTTCATCACCATCAGACTTGCACTTAAGGGAATAATAAACAGCTTTCTATAGGGAAAAAAAATCCCCCATCAATATGGAAGCTTTGAAATGCAGAAAAGAATGAAAAATACATCATCATTGTATGGGTAAAGCTAAATAAATACTGACTTTACTAAACAATGATAGTATCATGTAGGACTTAAGGGCATGGCAACAAATGCATATAATTTAGAGGTGAGTAAATAAAATTTGAATGGTCTAAGTTCTTTGTATTGCCTGACACACAGAAAAGTACTAATGAATATTAAACTAACTAATATCAGTAAGTAGAAATGCTATGTCTAGTGTAACACCAGCAAAATAGTAAAATAGGGCACTGATTTTCAAACTTTTCCATCTCATCACTCACATACACTAATTACTAAAATTCTGTAGACATACCAAAATATATATTTTTGCTGACCTGAAAAAAAGGTATAATTTTGATATAGTCACACGAGAAAGCTATTATTGGCTTTTATCATTTTTTAAATATGACAATCTAAGGGAAAAGAGGTCAGGTATTGCATGTTTTAAAAATTTTGCAGCACACTGGTTGAATATTGCTGAAATAGTGTATAGTTAGCTAGTTTATGGAGTAGGACAAATACCATGCAAATAAAACCCCCAAACCCAACCAAAACAAAATAAAACAAACAAAATAACCCACAAAAACCCCCACAACAATTCAGGAAGACTTTGGATGAAACATATGGTAAAAGATAAACAAATCAGGCTTTTAAAACTAGGAACTTGCTGTTCATCAAAAGAAACCTTAAGACAATTTGTTTCATACCCAGGGTTTATAAAAAAAATTCTTAAACATTTTATTTAACAGCTGACTACCTAATAAAAAATTGGCAAGAAACCCAAATTGGCAATTGACAAGAGGACAAATAAATATATAAAAGGGTGCTCTTCCTCATTATAATAAGGAAAATGCAAATTAAACCACACTACTGTTGGAATAGGTAAAAAACAAAAATAAATTTAACATGTGTGGTAAGGATGAGGAACAATGAGAACTCTAACAACATTGGCAGTGTTCCACTTGACTAGATAATGTCAAAATGTTTTCTATAGTTGGTTATACAAATATCAGGACTCATAAATCCCACACAACTTATATCAAACAAAAATGCATGTTCTCTGAGAGATATATGCAAGGATATGTGCAAAAATAGCAAAATTAATCATAACAGGTGAACAGTGGAGACCATCAAGTGCTCATCAACAAAATGGATAAATCCACTGTATTGCATTCATGTAAGGGAATACTAAATAGTTTTGAAAATGAAGTATAAACACACTAAAAAACATGTAAAGATCTCCCAAATCTGTAATGTTGACCAAAATGAGCCAAAAAACAAATCAAACCAAAACATAACAAGACAAACATACCCTATGGTTCTATTTTATAGAGAGTTCAAGAACAAGTAAAACTACACCACAATATTCAAAGTCAGAAGAGTAGTGATCTTTGGGGAAGGGGATGAGGATGGTAATTGGGAAGGGGCACGTATTGGGCTCCTGGGAGGCTGGCAATGTTTTTATTTTTGGCCTGGATGTTGGTTACATGGTGTTTCTGTAAACGTATTCACTTGTTTTGGACACTTTTCTGTTTGTGGTGAGTCATTAAAAAAAAGTTTAAAATATTTTACTAAACAAAACAAATATGTTCAAATGTCTGATCTTGGTGTAAGTGAAGTTTATGTTTAACCGTTTGAGTCCCAAGCAGACGCAATCGCGCTGCTTGGTATTTCTCGACATAAAATAAAACAAGCGCTATCACGCTGTTTGGGTCTTTTCGTACTCATTTAGAGAAATCGCGGTTGCGCTGTTTGGGATTCTTCGACAGTGTTTTTTCAATACCCCCTGGGACTCAAACAAATCGTATGTTTTCTCGACATAAAATCTCAGCAGTGCGATCGCGCTGCTTGGGACTCAAACGGTTAAATGAAGAGGGTAGATATCTAAATTTGTTCTTTTCAATGATGTGGGTTTTGGATTCCTAAAATTTGCTGCATTTAACTGGGTAAACTTTAGTGATATATATTATGCTGAAAAGATATTCTATATAATAAAAGGCTAATATGAAAATAGACCAAACTGGGAACAACTGAACCAGTCTCTATGACATGCACTGACCACCACCAGGGGGCGTGTGCGGAACATGCCGGAAGCTGGCTGTGGTGGGATGGTGGAGCAGGGGTGCCAGACCAAGGTGGGGCGCCGATCGCTGTCATCGGGACGAGCCTCTGGTGGTTACTGAAAATTCTATGCTACCGCATGCCACAGTCCTTCTCAGCGCTTGTACCTGCTGCCCGTGCCAGCCTCGCTCACACCCGCTGCTGGCGCCAGAGCCGCCGCTCACACCCACTGCCAGCGCCTGCCCCACTTGCACCTGCAGCCGGTGCCCGGTGCCAGTCCCGATCACTTGGCGCCACCAGAAGGTGCAAGTGATGGCTGCCGGCCCTGATCGCCCCTGAGGGCTTCTCCACCTCCCCCTGCTCCTGAGGGGCAATTGGGGCAGCAGCTTACTGCTTGCACCCGCTGCTGGTGCTGGCCCCAATCGCTCCATGCCGTCACCACGTAGGATGGCGGTGGCCGGAGCAGAGCTGCTGGCAGACAGGGGACCTGGGGCCGTGGTGGGAGGGGCCAGGTGGGGACGTGGAGGGTGGGCCAAGATCCGCCCCTGTGCCTACCACAGCCTCACGGCCCACAGTTCCTTTCAAGGTGCACGAATTTGTGCACTGGGCCCCTAGTATTTGATATAATAAATCACAATTCTCTAAAATTAGCTGAAGTTAAACATGCTAATTTTCAAATAACTTTTAAATACCTTCATGTAGAAATGTCATATCTTTCTTGACAACGGGGAAGAGTGGAATAATTGGAGGCTGCATGCTTTGACTACTAAGAATATTTCTATACTTGGCCATGTTTCTAGATGGATCAAAAAGGTCTTGCAGATCTTGCAGGTGTTTCTCATACTTGCTTGGTAACTTTTCCCAAGTACCTTTGAGTCGTGCTACAGATGCCAGGTTCAAGCCACTGCCAAGGATGAGAATAAAAACATTAAACAGAGATCTGGGTAAGACAAAGAACTCAGGCAGATAAAGTGCATAAACCAAGTTTCTCTAATAAATCTAAAATAAGCAGGGCCATATTTCAATGTGTTAAAATAAACAGAGAGAACCATAAAATAAATAAATAAAAAGGATTCCTTGATCATAAAACAGGAAAATCCTCTTTCAGAGAAACTACATTACTTACCTATAGTTGTAGACCTATAGCCTTTACTTTATAGTTTACATGCTAATAGGCAAATAATAATTCCATAAAACACACATTTAACTTTAAAATAAACCAAGTATCACAATATTTTTGTTTGTTTTACTTAGAAATAACTTTATGGAGATACTATCTATTTGTGAGTGGTTTAAGTAATGCTGAGCACAACTGTTATATAAGTGAGGTAATTCTGGGGCCGAGGCAATCTTCCTTCTCTGAGATTTTGTACACTAATGTCCCTGATTGCATTACTTCCATATCCCTAGGTTCTAATCCCTTCCCCCCGGGCTTCCATATATTCAATGTCTCGGTTCTACAGGATTTTAAACACACTCAGATAGCCCTAACTTGAAAAATAATTCATGCCAATTAGGCTTCAACTCTTCCCTATCCCTTTACTTCTATACTAATATCCCATAGGTAGGCTGTCACATGAATAGCACATAAATAGTGTCTCAATTTTCTCACCAGTAATCCCACTTTTATTCTAAGCCACCTGACTTTCAATCATACCCTTTTATTTAAAATATTCTCTTGTTTGAGGTGTGACGATCTTTGTTCCCTTTGCTTCTCAGAAATCATTCCAAACAACTACAAAAAATGAATAACAATGCAAATTTCATTTCCAACGAAACAAATAGATATCTGTAACTCCTAAACTCATTAGAAAGGATGACAAAGAATAGTCATGGTCAAATCAGAAGTATGTGAAATACTGAAAAAATGATGTCACAGCTGAAGATCTCAGTGAAAGCCGGTAAAGCACAGTTTCCAAAGCATGTAATCACCCTGAAGGCAAAAACAGCAATCTCTTATTTGATACAACACAACAGAGACCATAGGCTGACAGAATTAGGCAGGGGCTAGACTCTGTTCTTTATCATGAGGGAGTGTCAGGGAAAATAAGATGATAACAGTACACACAGTAAAAGAACATCATGGTGAGAAGCAATTTAACAGTGAGACAGGATAGAAGGGAGAAACTCTTAGTTATAAACAGCCCAAAGGTGCCAATCTTCATTTGCTGAAAAGAAGTAAAAAGTAAAACTATTCACATACAAGTTCAATTCCTGCTAGCCTCTAATACTACCCTGGCTCCTCTCCCACAGGAACCTCCTGCAAATAGTTGGTATAAGAAAACTCATGTCATTTAAAAAGAAGGAATGAACACAGGATCTATAACAAGCTGCCACAAGGAAAAACAAATATTTTAAAAAACAAAGCAAAACAATGTTGCCAACAATTAAATAAAAACTGGGAGTAATTAACAACCTAGCCATGATTTAACAAAGTAAGTAAAGAGCTTAATGCAGTGATATCAGAGTTTAGAAAAAAAACATGGTAAGAGAAGTTGATAAAAAAAAGTAAAGTTCAGAAAAAAAAGGGAAGAAAAAATAAAACAAACAGAGAAATGAAGGCCACATTGGAACCTACATAAACAAAAAATGACACTGCTAAAAAACATGCAAGTGACATGGAAAAAACAATTAGTAAAAGCAATCAATTGAAATGTACAGTTGGAAAGGATGAAAGACAACAGATATGGAAGACAAAGGAGCTCTAAAATCTCTGTAAGTGGTATCCTTGAAGAAGAAAACAAAAATAATGGAACTGAAAAAAACAACAACATTTAAAGGTAAAATTTGAAAAAACATTCCAGAAACAGAAGAATTGAATCTACAGATTGAATAGACAGCACAGTTCCAGAGAACCTAGTATAGAACTAAAAAGATGAAAAGGTAAATGACTTTAGAGATACACAAAAAATCTGGGAAGTAATTTCAGAAACTTAAACAGCTATATCAAATGCTAGTTGTGGAGCCAATGTCTATGAAGTTTCCAAGAAATAACATTTGAGAAAAGAATTTTAAAGCTAGACAAACTAAAAACTGAAGTTCAAAGGCAACAGAAAGGCGCTTGAATATGCTCAGAAAATATAATTCCCACAAACTTCAACCAAGAGATAATTGGACAGAGTGATGTCAGCATCATGGCAGCATAAGATGTCCCTCATTTTATTCTCCCACCCCAACAACAAAAATGAGGCATATATCCATGAACAAAAGTGCCTCTGATGGAGTTGTGGGACCCTGCACCATACTCCAAGGGATCTGGGAGGAGCCTCAATCACAGGTGTATCGGATAATAGGTAGCTAAGCTTTGGTACAGGTTTGGGAGTGTTCTACAGGGGATTGGGAGTGTTCTAGCCTCTCTCAGCTGTGGTCTGAGAACACCTGCAAAACACTGACTTGGGGAGTCACCTACAGCCAAGAGAGCCTTGTGAAAATCCAGGTTTCCGGAGGAGAATTCCAACATTTGGTTGGAGTAAAACAAAACAAAACAAAACAAAAAGAGTTTGGATGCACTAAAGGAGGTAAAAAGAACAATTTGACTTCACTGGCATCATTCCAACCTGCACTACTTAGGGCTAAACTAGATGGCTCATGGTTTCTCCCATGGGATGAAGGAAAGCCAATGAGTGAATGCCTGGTTTCCTTAGCTGTGTGGGACACTGCCAAGGACACTCATTTCTCTCTCACAGAGTCCAGAGCATTAAAGTGAAAGCTCCATTACTGAGGGGAAGGTGCAGATCAGGTGTGTGGAATATGAGATTCCTGAAAGGTGTTACAGGGATGCAGTTCCTGCTGACTGCTTCTGAACTACAACAGGAAGCCCACCCAGGAGACAAAGGGAACACCTCACCTACAGATCCCTCCCATGGGCACCTGCAGTGCACCCTATACCAAACCCATACCTCCCCCTGCTCCCTGTGTAAGGTCCTGAGACCAAGCTCTCTGGTAGAGGGAGCATACGCAGTGTCTGCAGGCAAAGGAGAAACCACAAACGGCCACCATCAAGAAAACAAAAGAGACGCTACCAGCAATGGACATGATGTGTTATAGGATTGAGAGAAGACACAAGCTTCATAATTCTGCCACAAGAAAAAGCAGGAAGCATAGAGCAGGTGTGTTCACACAACACCTGGGAATGCCTCAAAACTATAGGAAGGTTGCCCTAGCCAGTTTGGCTCAGTGTAGAGAGTGTTGGCATGAGGACCAAAGGGTTCTGGTTTGATTCCGGTCAAGAGCATGTACCTTGGTTGCAAGCTCCTCCCCAGCCGGGACCCTGGTTGGGGCTCGTGCAGGAGGCAACCAATCGATGTCTCTCACATCAATATTTCTCTCTCTTTGTCTCTCTCTTCCACTCTCCCTAAAAATCAATGGAAAAATATCCTTGGGCGAGGATTAACAACAACAAAACAATAAAATCTATAGCAAGGTTGATGAAAGGGTTTTTTTCCTTTTTTTTTTTTCCACCTTGAAGACAGTAAAAACTAAAGGAGGTGCCCCGACCGGTTTGCTCAATGGATAGAGCGTCGGCCTGCGGACTGAAGGGTCCCAGGTTCGATTCCGGTCAAAGGGCATGTACCTTGGTTGGGGGCACATCCCCAGTAGGGGGTGTGCAGGAGGCAGCTGATGGATGTTTATAACTCTCTATCCCTCTCCCTTCTTCTCTGTAAAAAATCAATAAAATATATTTAAAAAAAAAAACTAAAGGAGGTAACTGCTATCTCAAATGCAAAAACAAACAAACAAAACAAAAATGCAAAACTCCAATAATCAAGAAAATATTACTTCACCAAAAGTTCACAATAATCTTTCAATAACTAAGCCCAGAACATGGAGATCTATGATTTACCTGGTAAAGAATTCAAAATAGTTGTTTTAAGGAAACTCAAATGAGCTACAAAAATACACACAGGATAATTCAATAAAATTAGGAAAATAATACATACTCAAAAGATAGAAAGCAAAAAAGGAACCAAACGAATATCTAAAGCTGAAAAATTCAATGAAATGAAAAGTGTAATACAGAGCACTGGCACCAGCGTAGACCAAATAGAAGGAAGAATCAGTGAGACAGAGTTTAGGAACTTTGAAATAACCCAGTTAAAGGAAAAAAAAAAAAAAAGAAAGAAAGAAAGAAAGAGTAAAGAAAGCCTACATGATCTAAAGAAAACCATAAAAAAAAAAAAAATCAATATCCAAACCATTGGAGTTCTAGGAGGGAGAAGGAGGCAGAAAGTCTATTTAAAGAAATACGGTAGAAAACTTTCCAAACCAGAGAAGAGATCTGAATATCCAAGTTCAGGAAGCGAGATCACTCCATTATTTCAATCCAAAACAACTTTCTTCAAAACACATTATAATAAAACTGCCAAAAATCAAAGAAAGAGAGAGAATGCTAAAGGCAGTAAGAGAAAAAAGAGTGGTAACCTATAAAGGAACCCCCATTAGACTATTAGCAGAATTCTTAGCAGAAATCATATAGGCCAGGAGAGAATGGGATGATACATTTGAAGTGCTGAAAAAAAAAGCCCAAAACTACCAACCAAGAATAATCTGGCAAAACTATACTAGAGAAATAAAGCACTTTCCAGAAAAACAAAAGCTGAGAATTCATCAGCACTAGAATTGCCTTACAAGAAATGCTGAAAAGGGATCTTCAAATTGAAATGAAAACTAGTAGTAACGTGAAACCACATGAAAATATACAACACTTTGACAAAGGTAATAAAATTCTGCAAAATCTCAGTACTGTAATTTGAGGTGTGTTAACCACTCAACTAGAGTATAAAGGTTAAAGGACAAGATATCAATAACTATAGCTACTATATAAAAGGTAAATGTGACATTAAAAACATAAAATGGAAGTTAAAGGGTAGAGTTTTATATGTGATTGAAGTAATTAGCATTAAATAGACTGTTATAAATCGTTTTATGCAAGTTTCATGGCAACCACAAAGCAAAAACCTATAGTAGACTCACAAACGATAAAGAAAAGGGAATCAGAGCATGTGTATGTTATGTGTCATTAAGTCCACTCTGACTCCTGTGGAAATCTATGAATGAGTGATGTCCACAATATCCTGTCCTCAACAGCCCTGTTCAACTCCTGTATGTATTCTCATGCCTATGGCTTCTTTTATGGAGTCAATCCATCTCATATTTGGTTGTCTTCTTTTCCTGCTGCTTTCTAGTTTTACCAGCATTATTGTCTTTACCAAAACACCCTGCCTTCGGGCCCCTGGCCAGTGTGGCACAGTTCGTTGAGCATCGCCCTGTGCACCAAAAGGTCACCAGTATGATCCCCAGGATCCCCAGTCAGGGTGTATTCGGGAGGCAACTGATAGATGTTTCTCTCTCACGTCGATGGTTCTATCTCCCCCCTTCCTCTTTCTCTAAAATCAATAAAAACATATTAAAAAAAAAAAAAAGAACCCTGCCTTCTATGATGTGTCCCAAGAACACCACAACAAAAAATCATCAATTTACAACAAAACACAGCAAAAGAGTTGAGAAGGAACAAAAGAATTACAAAACAGCCAGAAAATAAATAAATGAGATATAAAATGGAAGTAGTAAGTCCTTACATGTCAATAATTACACTAAATGTAAATGGACTGAATTTTCCAATCAAAAGGCACAGAATGGTTGGATGGATAAAAAAAACAAGATCCAACTATATGTTGCTTACAAAAAAGTCACTTCAACTTAAAGGACACACAGAAGCTCAAAGTGAAGGTGATGGAAAAATATATTCCACATAAGTAGAAACCAAAAGAGAGCTGGGCTAGCTATATTTATGTCAGACAAAATAGACTTTAAGCCAAAAACGATAACAAGAGACAAAAGGTCATTTACATTACATAATGATAAAAGGGTGAACTCTGCATGAAGACACAATAATTGTAAATATATGAGCACTCAACACTGGAGTGCCAAAATATATTCAGCAAATACTAACAGATCTGAAGAAAGAAATAGACAACAATACAATAATAGTGGGAGACTTTAATATCCCATTTTCAGCAATGAATAGGTCATATAGACAGAAAACTAGTAAGGAAACATTGACCCTATACCCATTACACTCCATCCAACATCAGTAGAATACATATTCTTCTCAAGCATGCACAGAACATTCTCTAGGATAGATCTGAAGATAAGCCACAAAACAAAGCTTAATAAAGTTAAGATTGAAATCATACTTAGTATCTTTCCAAACCACAATGGTGTGAAACTAGGCATTAACAAGAGGAGAACTGGAAAATCTACAAATAAGTGGAAATTAAACAACACACCCCTGAACCACCAATGTGCCGAAGAAGAAAACAAAAGGAAAATGAAAAAAAATCTCTAAACAAAGGAAAACAGATATACAACATAACAAAAGCTATGGGATGCTGCGAAAACAGTTCCAAAAAGGAAGTTTATAGTGATAAATATCCATATTACAAAAAAACACACAAATATCTCAAATAAACTACCTACTAATAACTTGTGCCACAGAATTTTAGCAATTAGTTTATGTGTACCATGAGATGAAAAAGGTTGAAAAACACTGGGTTAGAGCATCAATACAATGATGTGATCACAGTGAGGCAAGTACTGCACGATGCACAGTATAGAAGTCTGATGATAAAAAGACCAAATGTTGGGCAGCACATATGCAAAAGGAGAAAAAGGAGGAAAAATGGGAAGCAATCATCCACACAACCCACCCCCACCCAAAAAATGTTTAAGTAACAGAAAGATGGGAGAAACAAAGACAAAAAGCCAGTATCACAAGAGTGGAAGATATATATTAGTCTTTACAATACTTTCAGTAAAAACCTATTTATTAAACTTTTTCTTTCCTAGCCATTAATACCTAAGCAGAAAACCAGCTTCACGTCTAATATTATGACAAAATTGTACACATATTTGTACAAACTTACCTTATTATTGCAAACATGGAATTGAAGTTCTTACATTCTCGACAATGAAGTGCAATTTTAATAAAATGCTTAATAATCTTCATTCGTTTAAGCTGATTCGATTCGGTTAAAACCTCTGAGGCAACCCAAAATGTCTCTTGGTTTACAATGTCCTCAAACTCTTTCAAGTGAGTATTTCCTGTTTTGGAATCTAACTTAAAAAGGTCATCAATGTATTCAGTAGGCTCAATATTACGAAACAAATCAAAGTCCCTCATTGACAGCTGAGTGGCCAGCTCAACGGTACTGAGCTGCAGCATGGATAGTTGGCTTTCTTTAACTAGTTCTTGAGCATCTTCATCTGAACATAAGGTCTCTGTTTCCATGTTATTTTTTAAATAATACCTAAAAGGAAAAAATTGATTTTTATCATTTATTTTATACTTAAAGAGTACTTTCCCTCTTTATTGTCAAAACATTAAAAAAATTTTTCTAAATTCCCACATATTCATAAAAAGATAACTACTTAGAAAATAAATTGTGAAAATTATGGTTTCTTTTGCCCAAAGTACGTATGGTCACATTGAAAACAAATTTATAAATTAATAAATCAGATACATGTAAAGATATGTATTATTTAGTTTCCTTCTCTGTATAAAACAGAGAGTGAACTATTTCAGTGTTTCTAAAACTTTATTTTAGAAAAAGAGCTAAAATATTTAACAACTGTCTTCCCTTTACTTTTCCCATGTTTGGATAGCCATTTTGAATACATTTCTAAAATTATGGAGATAAGAAAAGCTGGGGCCAAATATAAGAAATCCTACTTCAATTTTAGAGAGAACTCAGTGGCCCTAAGACATGATATTTCTATTTAAAATATCTGTTTTAACATGGAATCTTCAAAAACACATCTAGAAATAAGTACATTCACTAATAATAAGCACATTCACCTTCCATTGAGCTGAATTCTATCAGCTAATTTGGAAAATTGGTCCGGAAGTCTTCTCTGTTTTATGACACCCTCAGGAGTAACAGAAACTTCACAGAGAGAATATGTGTCGGATGCACCAGTCAAACCAAATTCATGAACAGCATGACAAACAACTTCTTTAGCTGTAGAGTCTTTACTGATGATAATGTAGCAACTTTGTTGATCTGCTTTAAAAACTCTTATAACTTGATCAGGAATATCTATATAAATAAAAAAATGTGCCCTGTTATTTTCAGGAATATTACTTTTACCTGTTCAAAAAGCAATCTGGAACACAATGATCCTTCTCAACAGTGAAATATACATTTCTATTTCAGATGAACAGAAATCACTGCTGCATTTGATTAATAAACGTATCTATCTTTTCAGGTGACAAAATACTAATACATGTTCACAGAAAAACATAAAGATAAAAATAAGGGACATACTATTCATACAATTTGGAAGCCATAATTCTTTTTATTTATTTTTAAACATTTTGATGTCATTTTTATATATTTTAATTATCCAAACCCCTAATGACATGCACACATTTCATTTTCTCTTCTCTTGTTGTGAACATACTATAACCACATCTGGGAAGGAACAGAGAGTTGTGTATCTTGCTAACGGTGTAAAAAAGTCATACTCTGTTAAAGCCACACACATGCCCCTCCCTCTCGCCCCCCATGCAACAAACTGTTGTATAGTCATGTATGAGGGATTTGGGCATCATAAATGGGCACCTCCAGAATAGACCCCGAAAATGGGATTATTCAAAGGATTAAGACAAACCCTGATGAATTTGCCAATAAAAATACCAACTTGGAAAACATTTCAGAGATAGAGAGAAGAATTCTCTGCACTAATATCAGTGTCAATGTAAATCTTTTTCTATTTTAGAAGTGCTACATGTATAATACATATATATTCTTTACAAACATGTTTATTACTGGGAGAAAATCATACATGCCAAACATAATACTTGGAACGCGGCAGACCTTCAAAAATTAACTGATTATATGAATGGTAAATATGAGGCTAGAGCCAAAACCGGTTTGGCTCAGTGGATAGAGCGTCGGCCTGCGGACTGAAAGGTCCCAGGTTTGATTCCGGTCAAGGGCATGTACCTGGGTTGTGGGCACATCCCCAGTAGGAGATGTGCAGGAGGCAGCTGATCGATGTTTCTCTCTCATCGATGTTTCTAACTCTCTATCTCTCTCCCTTCTTCTCTGTAAAAAATCAATAAAATATATTTAAAAAAAAATGAGGCTAGAATCAAGTTGAATCAACCAAAAATGAGTTAATCAGTTCAAATTTTAGGTTTGGAGCTAGACTACACTTAAAAATATAATTCTGTAAGTGCAAAATAGACATTTCAAAAGAATCATTGAGAAGTACAGCATTTATTAGTCTTATAATTCCCACTTCATTCATAAAATCCTGATAGGTAAATAAATTTTAGAAAATTTATTTAAAAAGGTCTGTGCTATTAAATGAAAAAGAAGCAAAAGTTCCATACACAAACTCAGAAAAAAAATTCTGAAGTTTCAAAATCCTTTTAGCCACACTCTGAATTATTTTAGGCCTCATCTTGAATTAGGTCAAAAATTCCAGAAACAAAAGAAAACACTTCACGATTTAGAATAGCATGTATACTCTAATGCTATGGATATAAAAACATATATGGTTAAAGGAAGTGACTAAAAGAACATGCCAGAGTGGGGGCAGGGAGAGAGAGAGAGAGAAAGAGAAACATCAGTGTGAGAAAGAAACAGCAATCAGTTGCCTCTTGTAGGTGTCCTGGGCCCCGGATCGAACCTGCAACCTAGCTCTTCTCCATGTGGAACTATGGCTGTGCCCTAGAGTTGAGGAGATGAGGAAGATTCCTGATGTGGTGACACAGCTCTATCATTCTAAAGGCACTGGTGCCTGAGTGGCCACCAAGTGTATTCTCCAGGACTTTCTTCAAAGTGCATGACCAGCATTCCTCAAAACTGCTGAGAGAGATTAAAAATGGTGGCAGAGGAAGAAGATGCTGCACGGACATGCTCCCAGAACAAGCTGGAATTACAACTGAAATACAGAAAGCCTTCCTGAATAATCAATGGAAAACTCACAGGAGAGAACCCTGATACCCAAGGACCAAAGGTGGAGACCCAATAGAGACTGGTAGGAGGGGTGGAGGCGTGAATGGGCTGGCTGGGCACTCACAGACAGCAACTGAAGTCCCGGAGAGATGTCTCAGCTGGGGAGGGGCGGGGAGCCACTGAGAAATCTGGGATCTAATCCCGAAACTGGGCTCCCCAGCAGAGAGCACCAAACTGAGCAGGGTACCCACATAACATCTGGCTGTGAAAAGTGGTGGCATATTGTCTGCCAGGGAGTGGCAGCTGAAAGTTCAGGCACCCTCTTAAAGGGCCAATGCACAAAAATTCCCTATGGAGCCACCCACCTTGTGCTCTGGCAGAGGGAGGGTGAAGTAGACTGGAGCTGTGAGAGCAGAACCCAGTACTGGGGACTTGGGGGATAGAGCTAAGAAGGCAGACACCCCAAGTTTCCTGGGCTGAGTCATTCCCTCACATAGCAGAGGACATCTTTCCCATATAGACATCTGCCTTGCCTTGGGGGAAGACAGTCGACACACCCTATTGGAAAACACCTTGCTTTGAGGCCACTTAAGAGATTAAAAGTAAAATTAGCCTCCAGGCAGAAGCAACTGCCCCATCCCCTTGAAAAAACTCTCACCACACCTGAGGATTATTGGGGGGGGGGGATAAAGGGATAAAGGGAGGGGAGGAGGACAATTCAAGTCAGAATCCTATCAGTCTGTAGGCAGAGCCAGTCTCTGGAAGCTTTGAGTCTTTGCCTGATCCAATTAGTCAGAAACAGCCTTTAACACTGTCCTGCACTAGAGATTGAGAAGTATAGAGGATCTACCTAAAACAGTCACAAACCCAAACAGACAACAAAATGAGGAAACAAAGAAACAACCCCCAAATCAAAGAACTAGTGAATTCTCCAGAAGAAGAGATAAATGAAGCAGAGATAAGAAATTTATGTGAAACAAGAGTTCAGAGTAATGATGTTAAAAAGCTCAACAGTATGAAAAAAGATATAGTAACTATGAAAAAAGAACAGTCTGAGATAAAGAATGACATAACACAAATAAAGAACACATTGGAAGGAATATACAGCAGATTAGGGGAAGCTGAGGATCAAATCAGTAAATTAGAAGACAGAGTTGAAAATAGCACTCAATTAGAGAATTAAAAAGAAAAATAAATTAAAAGTCAGGAGTACAGCTTAAGGGAGCTGTGGGACAATGTGAAACGTAACAGTATTAGAATAGTAGGTGTGCCAGAAGAGGCAGAAAGAGAGAAAGGAATAGAGAAAGTGTTTGAAGAAATAATGGTAGAAAACTTCCCTAACCTGGTAAAGGAAAAAGTCACACAAGTTCAGGAGGCACAGAGAACCCCAAAAAAGAAGAACCCAAACAGACCCATGCCCAGACACATCATAATTAAAATGCCAAAAAATAAAGACAAAGAGAGAATCTTAAAGGCAGCAAGAGAAAAGAAAATGGGTACCTACAAAGGAGTTCCATAAGGCTGACACCTGATTTCTCATCAGAAACTCTACAGACCAGAAGGGAATGGCATGAAGTACTCAAGGTAATGGAAAGCAAGGATCTGAGACCAAGATTACTATACCCAGCAAGGTTATCATTCAAAATAGACAGTCAAATAAAGAGCTTCCTAGACAAAAAAAAGGCTAAAGGAGTTCACCACCACCAAGCTAGCATTACAAGAAATGCTAAAAGGATTGCTGTAAGGGATTGCTGAGGACAAACAGAGAAACCTAGCCATACAGAATTAAAATGGCTATAAGTAAGTACCTCTCAATAACCCTAAATGTAAATGGATTAAATGCTCCAATCAAAAGGTGTAGGGTAGCTGAATGGATACAAAAACATGACCCAACTATATGCTGGCTACAAGAGACCCACCTCAAAACAAAAGACACAGGATGAAAGTGAAGGGATGGAAAAAAATTCTCCATGCAAATTGAAAAGGAAAATAACTGGAGTAGCAATACTCATATCTAACAAAATAGACTTTAAAAGCATCATGCTAAGTGAAATAAGGAAGTTGGAGAAAGATAAATATCATACGATCTCACTCATTTGTGGAATATAATGAACAACATAAACAGATGAACAAAAATAGAGCCAGAGGTGGAAAAATATTCTAGAATATAATAGAAGTAATCCTATTATTTGCGGATTTTTAATATTTCCTACAACTTTGTGATATCATACTATGTTAGTATAGTTTTGGTAATATTATTATACTTAAATTTTTTTTATTATTGAAGTATTAATGTTTATTGTATGTATTATATGTAAGATCATTTTTCTTGAGTAATTAGTGTTTACTGCATGTAACATTATATTTAAGATCATTTTTCTTGAAATATTAAGGTTTATTGCATGTAACATTATATTTAAGATCATTTTTCTTGAAATATAAGGGTTATTGCATGTAACATTATTATATTTAAAATCGCTTTTCTTGAAATAAAGAAAAAATTCACGTGCAAAAAATAAATAAATAAAATTAAAAAAGAATACATGCCAGTTTACAGTGGCAATCTTATAAGTGGATGGAAAAGTTCTTTCTGCTTCATTCAGTTCTTTCACATTTGATTTTTAAAAATAAAATACTACATATACACATAAGCAATAAAAAGCATAGAATCTTCAAAATACTTACAGTAAAAACCAACAGCTGTAGGCAGCAAAAACAAAGCAGAACCATAAAAAGGTCAGCAATCAAAAGCAAACTATTCAACAGGTCTGTAGCTTTTTACCCACTTTCTAGTAACTTTAAACATGCAGCATAAACATGGCTGAGATAGATAGATCAAGTTAATTAAATTTGGCTGATGTCATATATGTACTACAATATATAAAATTCAGTGCTGTCGTATATAATTCAAGGAGCTGAATTTAAAATTAATTGATAATGAACATTTTATTCAACATAAATATAAATAGCACCATAAAAAGCCTTTCATAAAGTTGCACATTTTGGAGTTTAAAAATATAATTTATAAGTTAAATACCTATGTTATATGTGGTCATTTATATTGCTGCAGACTAAGGTTTGCAGACAGATCTTTTCTAAATAGATTTTTAAAAAGCATCTTCAATCCTTTCACTATGTTTTCAATGAGAAAAGTATGCAATCAATTTGAAATAAAATTTAGTAGCAACTCCTCTTAGGAATTCTGAATTTTAGCACCATGAGGCTTATAGTTTTTAAATTTTAAAATTCCAATCTCTTCCACCCCTTTCCCCCCAGCCAAATCCCCAACGTCCCTCTTTTCTCTCTCCTTCCCCTACAACCCACCCTTCATCGTCTTAATCCCACTTCAACATATTCCAGTGGCAAAAATACAGCCATAGGATCATTCAATCTATAAATCATATGTCCCTAAAAACTTGTCTTATGAAAATACAGGCAGACCTCATTTTATTGCACTTCACTTTACTGAGCTTCACAGATGCTGGGTTTTTACAAACTGAAGGCAAGATCTTTCAATAACAAAAAGATTATGACTCCCTTTGCTTTATTGTGGTGGTCTGAAATCAAACTTGCAATATTTCTGAGATATGCATGGATGAATACTGTATTTAATTTGTGCTTTGATAATGTGAAAATATTTTACTTGTGAATGCAGAATAAGAAGTACTACTCTGGAACACACAAACATACAGATATGGAAATAAATTCTTATGACAAGCAATTGAGAGACAACAAAAATTTTCGTGCTAGAGATTTCTGGAAAAGGCGGGACTAACTATTACAAAGGGACCTGGGCTTCCCCAATGAGTTAACATCTGAGTTCAGTATTGAGGAAGAAGAAAAAGTTGTAGAAGAAGTATCACTTCAGCTTAGACAAAAAGACAAACTCTTCTCTTTAGCTTTTTGAATTAAGTCATAATCTAGAGGTAGGAAAAGAAGTCTGCAAGTAAACCTAGCATTTGTTGCACAAGGCCTAACCATCTATTTGTCCATTTGGTACAATATTGCTATAAAAAAAATCACACAGAAAATCACCTGAAGGATTGGAAAAATCCAACATGCTGGTAGTAGGCTGAAGAAGATCCGGGCTGCTAGATGACAGTGTTCCAGGAATAGGCATTATAGCCAGACTGTGTCTACAGTGTCTCGTTCCCACAATGCTGTCGTCTTGTGATTGGCTCAGGCCTCCGTCACTTCAAAAGAATATCATATATTACTTTAAAGTATTTGAGGGTTCTAATAGTAAACATTACTGTTCTCCGTGCACTAAGGCATATAGAACCAATTCAAAGTGGTGACTTTAACAATTAGATTAATTTTTTTAAAAAAGGGCAACTGTAATAATGAAAATGGCAATAAAATGCTTTTAACAATGACAAATAAAATGTAACTTATACATCTAAGTAATTCTACCACCTCATAGAGAAATAGTCATGTTAGTTTCAAATGGTTTGGGGAGAGAAATTGAACCTGAGTGTTTAGGAAGCCTTTGAGATCTGCCAGTTTCAATGGATACCAATATATGTATCCAACAATACACAGCCAACACCACAGCAAGGTTCTCTCCCTTAACAGAAAAGCTTCAAAACCTCCTAGGCCAGTGGTTCTCAACCTTCTGGCCCTTTAAATACAGTTCCTCATGTTGTGACACAACCATAAAATTATTTTCGTTGCTACTTCATAACTAATGTTGCTACTGTTATGAATCGTAATGTAAATATCTGATACGCAGGATGGTCTTAGGCAACCCCTGTGAAAGGGTCGTTCGACCGCCAAAGGGGTCGCGACCCACAGGTTGAGAACCACTGTCTAAGCAAAGGATGGAGTTGGGTCTAAACCCAAACCAAAGAAAGGGCAAGTTGTAAAAAACAATGTGGGGCCAGGTTCAAGTGACAAAGTAAGAAAGGTCTTTAAACATATGAACAATCTCACTGTCCAAATCATCACTAGAGAAAAAATAACAGGAAGATGGCACAGAGAAGAGCAACAAACAACAATGAAAATATGTGACAAACAGAAAAAAGAAGGAAAAGGAGGACCAGACACAAAAATGGAAGAAAAGAACTTTATAGTCTCTAATGTTTATTCTAAGGGCACATTATTTCTTTGGTGATCTCTCAAGTCTAATTATTTGTCTGTTTCCTAAATGAGAACATCAAAACCAGAATAGAAAACAAGTTATTGAAAGTTAATTCTCTTTAAAGGTTTAAAAAACAAGTATCAATTAAATGGCCATATTTAAGCAAATAAAATACTTTTCCTTTAAAATATTTAGAAGTGTTACATAAACAACTCTAAGTGAAAAATAAAAACATAGAAACATAACTGTCACTTAACTTTTAGATAACTGCAAAAGTCCTATAAAACACAGGAAAACAGTCCTACCCAAACATGGAATAACCATAAAAAGGAAAAGTTTCCATCAGCATCAATAATCAAAATACCACTTATTTCTAAGGATTATGCTTATGTTAAAACCAATGCTTTAGGTTAATATTAATTTTCATCTAAATTTTATTGAATGCAGCATTTTACCTAGACCTTGCTACACATACAGAGATATTACAGAATACTTACCTATTAGCATGGAATGGATTAATGAAAAATGAGTAATATGGGATACATCTAGAATATATTGGGAGTAAAAAAATAGGATTTAGGCAGATTAGGAAACTATGCAAGATGAAATGTAGAGGACTGTTAAATAAACAACTAAAGGAGTGTTAATAGCCAGACAAAGAAGAAAGAGCCAGGACAAGAGAGAGAGCAGAGGATTCAGGAAAAAGCATGGAGACATAGAAGACAGCAAAGGTAAGCATTTCAAGAGCAAGCTAAGTCAGACAAGCCTGGGTTATTAGCTGTGTGACCTCAGGGACTTTTCTGTTTCTAGTCCTTGATTTCTTCATCTAAAAATGTGAATAACACTATCTCCCAGGATTACTTTAAGGATTAAATTAGGCAATGTAGGTGAACATCTGGCACAAAGAAAAATAGGGTTCCTATTTTTAAGAAGATGGTGAAGTATTTTTACCAAAATTAAAATTGAACAGAAGTAAGAAAGGATTTTAAGCAATTCACCCTGCAATACAGTAGGGGTCAGGGTGGGTATGACAGGTAAAGGCACTACAGAAATAGAAGTGTTTCCCTGAGTAGAGAAGTCAGTCTAATTTAACAGATAAAGCAAAGGAAATATCTTATTTAATAAGTAATTTGAGTTTGTGTTAAATTGGCTCCTTAAAATTAGGTGTGTTTCCCTGAAGATCAGAGCTAAATGTTTTAAGATTAGGTAAGAGAAAAAAAGGAGGCAGGGGCCTTTCACAGATATAGTATCTACAGCTTAATAAGTAATTTGGCAAAAATTTAAATTATGTAGGAAATACGAGACTTTTAAAAAATATAATGGTCTTTCTTTTATAAATTTTTGAAAACAAACCTGCCAGTTTTTGGACACAGAGGGTCAAATAACTGAATCCAAGGAAGCAAACTGTTAAAAGAGATTAGTAGCTGGTCCTACTAATCTCTTAAAAGTTGTTAAAAACAACTTTAACAATGTTAAAATGTTTCAATTTTCTATTAAAATAGGTTGTATTAGCTGCAATAAATTGAAATTTAGAGACTAAGAGAAATGTACAAAATATTCTAAGTTCTTAACTCTCTTACTGATCTTATTTAACATTAATTCTGCTTTTTAATAAGCAATAGATTTGACATTGTACAGTTATAATAATTTTTTTCCTGCCCGGCCCCGCCCCCAGTTATAATAATTTAAAGCTGGTTACAAATCCATGTTAATTAAGGTGTGAGCATGTATAAATGAAAACTATAGTCATGTTAAGTACAACTCATGCTATGACATGAATGAAATAGTATCTGATTGGCAAAATATCCATGCTTGTTTGGAAGCCGAATAAAGCCTATTTGTAAGTAATTATGTCATTTCTTACCAAAACAGTCTCCTGAGGTGATGCAGTAATAGAAACAAGACAGTTTTGAAAAATTCCTTAATAATTCCCTGACACTAAATTTATTTAAAGTATATTTTAGTTTTATATTATGAAACTAAAAAGGCACTGTAAATATCAATATGAAATAAAAAATAATCCCAATATTAAAAGAAAAGAACATATGCTGACAAGAAATGAGGAGGAACAATAATTTCTGATAAGAAAATAAGGCAGTCTATTTCTTGGACTGCTACAATGAATAATATAAAGATGTTACTTAGACAATCTGTGATTAAAGAAAACAAAATAAAAGCTGAGTGATTAAAAACATAGGAGATCAGAGTTCCTGAATTGTGAAATAATCTCAGGTCAATAAAAACCACATTGCTATGTCTTAATCTACAGATGTTATTCAAAATCAGTAACTTTTTTTTTAACTTCTAATTTTCAGGAGCATTCTTGCATTTTAAAATGATGACATGGCTAGGGATTTTGAGAAGTAACTGTTCTTATTTGTTCCTTCCTCGAATTCACTCTCTTTTGCTCATCTCACAGATGTAGACATTCTTTCTCATAGTCTCTCTCTGACAACTTATCCTCTACTCTTAGAGAAGTGTGCTGCAAAAGGCAGAGACCAAGTGCCCTTTCCAGAGTCCTGGAACATAGGAGATGTTCAGAAATTGGGGCATTCAACTCATTTTATTTTCATTAAAAAACAAGTATTCAAAGTAGAAAACTTAAAAAATACAGGAAACAAGCAAGTAAGGAAGAAAAAATTACTAATAAAAACCACACCTTAGTAAAAACCACAATCATTTGTCTTCTAGTCAGTTTTGCAGTGTACATAGCACAATTACTTAACCAATTGCTTGTAGTTGAACATTTAGGGTATTCCCAATTTTGTTTTATTATAGATAATATTACTGAGAACATCCATAAATTAACCTGAATTTAATTATTACTAGAAATGGAATTATTGAATCAAAGGTATGAACCTTCTTAAAGTTCTTCATAAAAAACCTGCCCAAATGCTTTACAGAAAGGTTGCATCATTTTATATTTCCACAGCAGTCTAAGCTTATTATCTACTCTACTAGAGGCCTGGTGCACAAAATTCATGAACAGTTAGGGTCCCTAGGCCTGGCTGGCAATCAGGGCCGATCTGTGGGGCGACCAGCGGGGCAATCGGGGGGCCCCGCTGGCACCTGCCTTCACTCACCAGCCCTGCCCCCCGCCGCTGGTCGCCTCCCTCTGTGGGGCGACCAGCGGCGGGGGGATCGGAGGGCCCCCATTGGCACTCACCTTGGCTGGCCTGGAGCCTGCAGGCAGCTCCTGCATTGAGCATCTGCCCCCTGGTGGTCAGTGTGTGTCATAGCAACCAGTCATTCCACCGTTCAGTTGATTTGCATATTAGGCTTTTATTATATAGGACAGGATGTTATCAATTCTGGCCCTAACTATTCTTTTTGTTGATCTTTAATTATACACTTTCCTGTTTAAATTGTATGTCCTTGATTATTATTGATGCAGAGCATCTGTTTCATGTACTCTACTTTTCTATAGAAGTTTTCTATCTAGTGATTCTTTTGCATGTATAACAAAAGGGGTTGTCTAAATTCATTTTTAATGATTAAGTGTCAAGAAATATGACATACATTCTCAAAAATGAAAAATGGCCACTCTGGAAAGTAAAATAAATCAGTTCTCTCTGCGAAATGGATTTCAATAGAAAACCTTTATAATTTCTATTAAAATAATCTATTTCTTGGTATTTATATGGCTGAAATAGCATTTTACTTAACCAAAACATGTTTAGAAGAGAAAGCCAGTTTAAAATGAAGGGCAGCATTTTATTCATGTTTGTATTCATAGCCAGCAGCCTCCTACTGGCACAAAGCAAGAGACTCAATAAATATTTGTTAAGTAATAAATGAAAAAAATTCCTTCTGAGTTTAAGTAAAACTTCTACTAGATCTTTTTTTTGGTACCAATATAAAGAAATAATGCTTGAAAATATTTAATTAATTGCTCCTTGGACATTTCCATGTCTCTGCTGTAACCAAAGATAGAAGTCAAAGATTGGTGGACATTTGGTCCTGTCTAAAACATCCATAGAGACAGTACGTCCAAAAAGTCTTGAAATCTGGTCCTGTCAAAATGTCCTTGAGCATATTTGGTCCATACCAAATGATCCTATCTAAATCCCAATCTGAATCCCAACCCACCTAGGCTAATGAGGGAGGAAGGGTTATTATTGGAAATACAATCATAACACAATTAGACCAATAAAACACAATAGCATTTCTTATATACTTATCCTGTAAACCAAAAGTAAAAATAACTCTTGTAGGCTATTTGAACTCAGGGTCTTTTTCTAAGCTTGGACATTTCTGGACAGGACCAACTGTCTGGCAAGGAATCCAAGTGGAGTAACCAATTCCTACTCCTGAAGGAGACACTGTGGAGACGAGATATTGACTTAGCTATCTGAAACCTGAATATAGCTGGTTGGAATGTGAAGTTAAGCTAAAATCAGTTACAATCAGTGTACTCTGGTTTTTGATGACAAATATCACAACTGTGCCACTGTTGAAAATGGGAACCACTTAAGGAAGATACATGTATTCCAGACCAAACCCACCAGGGTTTCTGGAAATGGAACTCAGGGCATTACCTCTTGAGGAACTCCTCTTGTACACTCTTTTCTGCCTCTAGTCCTCCATCCTTTTTCCTTTCCCTCAGTGCCTTCATACAGTGACTTCTGCTCAAGCCAAATCGTCCCCAATCAATTCAGTGTGAGCTGGCCCTCTTACATTCTCCTTACTCGATGCTCATTTGTTAGAACAAGCCTTTTCTTAGTGTTTGCTGTGCTGCTACAGTATGCTCATATTATAAGAACTTTGCTATTTTAAAGTTATGACTTTTATAGACCACTTGCTTCAGGAGAGCAGTTATTCCGAAAGGAATGAGTAATAAACCTTCTAGACATGAGTGACATCAAGAACAGAGCTCAGGATGTTTCAATCCTCTGTGAGCCCCAAATTAAATGAAGAGCAAATTTGTTCCCCAGACTGGAAATAACATTTCAAGAAGGAGAACATTTCCCAATCAGGAAATCTTTTGAGATCTTGACATAAAAGATGAGCACTGACGTTTACCTATTTCAAAGTTGCCTCCCAATTAGTCTCCTCGCTATTACTGCTAATTTTGCTGCATCTTCAACCCCAAACTACAAACACGCTAACAGAGAAGTTCCTAAAAGCACAAATCTTATCACATCATGTTTTCCCTGGCTCCCTAGTAAGATATAATAAAGTCCTTATCTGTGGCATAATATTAAAAATCCTTCATAACCTAGCACTTACCGTCTCTCCTGCTTCACCTTTAGGCGCGCGCGCGTACACACACACACACACACACACACACACACACTATCTATTCAAACTTACCAGGCTTGTTCATGCTTTTGGACATTATCAAAGCATTTATCATCCTCTAATGCACCATTGGCCTGCTTTCCCTTTTAGATAATCAACTCTTGAAGGACAAGAAACTTGTTCTATTTATCATTCCATATTTCTATCTCTGGACATTGTGCCTAATGTATAATAAATGTGAAAGGGTTTCTGATATGAATTCCTTAGAGGTAGGAACTACCTCTTTTCAGCTTGATAATTATCATCTGTCATAGTGCCAGGAACCAGAAGCCAAATAAGTATTTTCTTTGAGCAAGTTTTGTTTGAATATTCTTTCTTTTTTTCCTTGACTGTGCCGGCCTACTCTGCTTAAGTACTGTATTTGATTAGAACTTTTGTGATTGCTTAAAGAAGTAGATAATGTAGAATATACACAGACATAATATATACCAGACTCATTTCCAGTCATGACACTTCAGTGGATTGATTTCATCAGTACTTTATAGACCTTAATTTACATAGAAAATCTTGAACTTTTACTCAGTTTTAGTGACATCTCATTTTGGAAATAGAAATACATTTGATTAATAAGGCCAGCATTAGAATTCAAGAGGGAATAAACAGTGCAATAAGAGAAAGTTAATTAAAAAAACAAAACCTACAATTAGTGAATGTGTCCCAAGATTTAAGGTGTCCAAATTTGTAGGTAAAAGGACTGAAACTATACCAAAAATATACCCCCTTCTCCCCCACAAAAAAAGATTTTATAAAATGGCAGTTGTTTCTAAAATTCAAAAGAAGGCTAATAGAAGACTATATAATCTAAAACTGGTAACTTCAATGAAAAGATGGGAGACATTCAGAATTTATTCTTTTTTATTTATGGATCACGTGTAGATTTTATGATGCATTAGTTGTATAAAAACCAAAACTGACCCAAATTTCACTTCCCCAAAATAAAAAATTTATAGTCAACAGGAAAATGACCATATGACTGAGAATGGCATTACATACCTAAATAGTTTGGGAGGCAAGATACTAAATCGTGTTTTATCCAAAATTTTCCTGATTTTGTTTCTTCCACCTGAAACAGTATTTGCTTTTACTTTCTTATTTCCTTTCTCCTGTGGTGCCTGCTCAATATCTCCTGGTACATCCTGGATTGAATGGCGATTACTTTTTTTTTCAGCAATTTTGGGAATGTGAGGAACACCAGATTTTTCTTGTTCAGTCCTACTAAGTAACTCTTTGAACACTGTGGGAATAAATAAATAAACTTGTCATTTCTTCAGGTTAGAAAGCTTTTATATTAACAGCAAATTTTGAGAATAAACAATCACTTTTTAGCACTTGACCTTTCACAGCCTTATTTATTCATGAAATTTATATCCTTCCCTAATCAGTTATATCCACTTCTCGTTGCAGTTTTTATACCTGGCTATACTGCTGATGTTGTCTAAGAGTGATTAAAAATAAAAAGTGAGGAAAATGAAAAGGAGGTAGACAGCCAGCCAGCATGTTTGAGAAGTTCTGGGGTTCCTATTTAGAAAATAAGCTATATAACTGCTCATTAACTCAGATTTTATTAAAACAGATATTTAGATTCTATTATTTATGTTACTTCTAATGATAAGGTGAGAGGAGATATAAGTACTATATTAGGCTCAGTTTTGCAAAAGTTACCCATTAAAAAAATGGGAAGAGCTTTGCTTGACCAGTTTTTACCAAAAATAAATAGTACTACATTTGGTAACATATGACAACTTCCTCAATGTTACACTCATGAGACTTATGTCACTCAATAAAGTAAAGCAACTAATAAACATTCACTGCAGTGGTCTGGAGTGAAAAACCAATTGTCCTTAGATAACTTTCTTTCGACCCTAAGTCTGGTGTGTTACTTCATCCTTAAGGAGGATACACGTGCATTGGGGGACTTGCCTATCTAGCAATCTCTTTGCCAAGATTCAATTTTTCAACTTGTGAGAGGAGCTTTATCTCCCTGGGATCAGGAAAAAGAAAGAAATATCTGTAAGAGGCTATATATCTAGAAGCTATTAAGTGACTCATTTTCCAGTTAGAAAAAGCTGCCACCCTTTTTTCATTAAAGTAATATCATGAAAAAGTTTTTTTGGTGGTGTTTAAATAAATGTGTGTTCTTAAATAAGACAGATCAACTGCTAGAAGAAAAAAACACACACTAAAAAGATAAATGCTAAAGTAGAAGGAAACTTTCCTAAAAACTTGTGGTGCCTGGGGGGCGGGGGGTGTCTGAATGAAAGAAAGATGGTGGCTGCATATTTTTAAATATATGGGTCTTCAGCCCCACGAGATGCGGAACTTAAGCTTAACAGTTATAACTTTAAGCACTACTACTCTGTACCTCCATAGAAGACAAGCTGTAAACTGTATAAATGTGCCCACTGACACCCCAACCACAGAGAACTGCGATACTTTCACTTATTTTGGGGGATAAATCAGTTTTCCACAACATCAAGGACCAATAAGGAAGATTCAAATGGACAAAGCCGGAAGAACTGACACCTTACCACGATAAATAATTTGGTTTTTAGTTGTAACACTGGACCATTTTGAAAGTTTCAACCAGAATGATTTCACACTACCAGAGTATATTGTAAGCTTATGAAGAGCACATTTCTGCCTTCAAAACAATGGAAATCTTTAGGAGTCACCTTTCAAAGATACTCTGCTTACAAAGGCAGTTATTAAGATACAATAACTGCCTTTCAGTTTCTCTTTTTATATTCACTTTATTTTAAGCCACGTGGTAAAGGTAAAAATGCTTTTTTGAGCTAAAATCAAGATATCCACCCATTCAAAAAATATTTGCCGACCTGTAAATATATGTCAGGTACTATACTACATGTCTGCAGAGCCCTCCTATTGGGGAACATACAGTCTACAATACAGAGAAGACATAAGGGACAGAGAGAACATAATGAGAGAAACTAATAGAGATAGCAAGAAAGGGAAAATTTTCTTTAAATAAGTCACTGTGTATGAAGAGGTCAATAAAGTGAGTAGATTTTTAACTAAGCAACAGGAGGGGAAGGAGGAATGTGTCTAGGTAGAGGAAATCTCTACTTCAAAGTTCCTGTGGTAAAGGAAATGTTAAGAACAACAGTAAATCTCTGAATGGGCAGCAGATAATTCTGGCTATAGTGTGTACGTAAGGCGACTCAACAGTGTACAAAGTAGTTTCTAATTTGGGAAAAATATTTACAACCATTAAGACAAAATGATAGCACATTCAAACGTATCAACAGATGAGTAACTCAGCATAAAAATGGACAAATAAAATACTTTTTATAGCTCTGGCTGGTGTGGTTCAGTTGGTTGGGCATCGTGTGTGTGTTGTTTTTTTTGCTAGTTCAATTCCAGGTCAGGGAACACGAGGCAGCCAGTAATGTGTTGTTTTCTCATCAATGTTTCTCTCTCTCTCCCCCTCTCCTTTCCTCTCTCTCTAAAAACCAATAAAAAAAAAAAAGACTTTATAACACACATGAAAAAGTGCTCAACCACTCTCATTATTAAAGAATACAACAATAACTAAAGTTGAGTATGCCCACTGCCGAGGCATTTTTTTTTCTTTAAATATATTTTATTGATTTTTTACAGAGAGGAAGGGAGAGGGATAGAGAGCTAGAAACATCGATGACAGAGAAACATTGATCAGCTGCTTCCTGCACACCTCCTACTGGGGATGTGCCCACAACCAAGGTACATGCCCTTGACCGGAATCGAACCTGGGACCTTTCAGTCCGCAGGCCGATGCTCTGTCCACTAAGCCAAACCGGTTAGGGCCCGAGGCATTCTTAAACACTGATGAATGAAGTGTAGTATGCAGACTGGAGTAAACTTTTGGAAACTGCTTCCACTTTGAGAAATTTATAGGTGTGTCATATAAGCATAAAAGATAAGCACAAAGAATTTTTATTACATAATTGTAAATAGTAAAAACTGGTAATAACCTAAAACATATATTTGAGTTGACATCAACTCAATAGATTGCGATGATAATGCAATGGAATTCTATGCAATAACAATTATACAAGAGTAAATCTGTATGAACTGATGTGGAAAGGTAAAGAATACTGTTCACAGTATAGTTCCATGGTGCATCTTTCTTTAGTGTTTTAATTTTCAAAAAATATCCGTGTATTACTTTTATTAAAAAATGAAAATGCTCCCCAGCGGAGTGGCTTAGTGGTTGAGTGTCGACCTATGAACCAGGAGGCTGTGGTTCGACTCCTGGTCGGGGCACATACCCGGGTTTCGGGCTCGTTCCCCAATGTGGGGTGTGTAGGAAGTAGCCGATCAATGATTCTCTCTCATCATTGATGTTTCTATCTCTTTCTCCCTCTCCCCTCTTCTCTGAAATCAAAAAAATAAATTTAAAAAATTTAAATGCTAATAATAAATTATCTGAGTGGTGGGATTTTAAAAGATGTTAGAAAGTTTTGAAGGCCAAGAGGATCTGATGAACTAAAATTCCAGAGCAGGAAGAATGTCATCTGAGAATACCAGCTGTTTTTTTCTCTGCAGACATTTACTGCGTCTAAACATGAAATGTGGATCAGGTGGAGGTTGTCTACTAGAGGAAGGAGGATTTCGGATGGCTGTGAGTAGTGGCATAAAAACTGCAATAGAGAGAAGTCCAAAAGCAGCGTCACTTTTTTCCACAGGACATCTCTATTAGTAGTATTGCAGCCTTTAGATCTATTTTACTGTCGCCCAAGATCCATGTTGTTAACCAGTATGTTATACTATTTTTGTATTTTTATACATAATATTTGATATGAGTTAGTAATTATTATGTACAAAAAGTTAAAAGTATAAGAACCCTATAAAACACAGAGTTGGAGAAACTGAAGCTTGAAGAGACTAAATAATTTGGTCTTGGTAATAGAGCAAGCTCTGCTTTCACATTTTTCAAAATCAGAACCCTTTTGGTTTAACCCAAAAGTTGATGTTTCTAGATACTAGTTCCAAATTCCAGGAAATCCAAAATCTGGCAAGACTTACTCATTTGTTGCTTAATGAATACAATATTAGGAATTGCAAATAGATAGTTACTTACCATAACTTCACATGAGGTAATTCAGTAAAAGGAACTCAAGTGAAATGAGGAAAAACAACATGTTTCATTTTTCATTATGACTAAGTGCAGTATAAAGAGGAGCCAAAGAGGAAAAAAATAGACACACTTCCTTTTCCATATGCATAGCTTTTAAATTCAATTCTTATTTCTCAAACTGCAACCTAAAGGACCTATGAGAAACTTTTCCCTCTCTACTTAGTAAAGACTCAAATTTTCTTTGATAGTTTCCAATTGTTATACTGTTTCCCCTCTCAGAATTTCAGGGAAACTCAATGGCATCTAATAAAACCAAACTACAGAAAGTCATTCCTAAATGTCTAAAAAACTCAACAACAAATAGATTAAGTTAAAAGTACAAGCTTAGCCATTGGTTCAATCAAATATAAACAGGATCAAAACACACTTCAGGCACAATAATCAACATTTTCACATAAAAGTAGAGTACGTAAAAATACTCTACTTTTTTTATAATAACAAATTTGTTATTATAAATTTATAATTTACTGCTTAATTCAATGTTTTACTCAATTTATTTCCATGAAACATCTAATCTGGCATTCGTATTATTATTTCAAAAACCTAGCTCTGTGGTCGGCAAACTGCGGCTCGTGAGCCACATGCGGCTCTTTGGCCCCTTGAGTGTGGCTCTTCCACAAAATACCATGTGCAGGTGTGCACGTACAGTGCGAATGAAACTTCGTGGCCCATGTGCAGAAGTCGGTATTTTGTGGAAGAGCCGGTATTTTGTGGAAGAGCCACACTCAAGGGGCCAAAGAGCCGCATGTGGCTCACGAGCCGCGGTTTGCCGAGCTGCAGTTTGCCGACCACTGACCTAGCTAAAACATTAGAAGTAGAATGATTTGCACATTAGCAGGGGGTGGAGGGTGGGGAAACCTAATTCTGATTTCTAAGTTTCATTCGGTCATTCTAAGTCTTACTCAATATCTTCCTACAAAGTAAAGTACATAATAGTTTCTCATTAGACATTTTATAAATGGCTGACTGAATATAGTTGTACACATGTTTTAAAATGTACTTTCTAGCCCTGGCTGGTATGCTCAGTGGATACCGCTTCCGCCCCTGCACCGAAGGGTTGCAGGTTCGATTCCAGTCAAAGGCATGTACTTGAGTTGCGGTTGGCTCCGTCCCAGTTGGGGCATGTGTGGGAGGCAACCAATAAATGTCTCTCTCTCTGACTCTCTCCCCCCTCCCTCCCTTTCAGTCTAAAAATATAAATAAAATACTACATATCCCAACACCAAAGATCCTAAAAATATTCAAATAGCTAGAAACATGTTTACATTTTACTATCCTTTACATTATAATGATTCTTTTTCTGTTACAAAAAAAGCTCAATTTTTAAAACAAAACTCACCAAAAATGTTGGTCTTTACAGTAAGTGCAAGATGAGTATTATTCCTCAAAATTTCAAGGGCCTTCACAAATGTAATATTCTCAAAGTTTTGTCCATTTACTTCCATTATCTTCAGAAAAGTATTTGAAAAATATAAATTAAGACAGAAACAGTATCAGTTACCTCTGAAACCTTAAGTTTAATGGTAAAAAAAGTAAATGAAATAAAACGAATAAAATGTGCCTGTTAGTGAACAATGGTTATCTCTGAGAAGTGGGATTACCGTTTAATTTTTTTCCTCAATACTGTTATATTTACCCAAATCTCTACTATAAACATTTTTTAAAAGTTCATTCTCTCTGGAATCATATTAGAGAAATTTAAAAAATAACATAGGTTGGTTTTTATGAAGGAAAATGTTTAATCATGCCATCAGTCCATAAAAAGTATTGCCTGTGTGTACATACAAATTTTATGAAACATTCTAAGTGAAAATTTATTGCACTTAAAAGAGATAAAAGTGGTACTCTGAATATATCTAGTAACATTTCCTGCCACTGCTGAATCAGGCAGTCCAAAAGAAAGCAGCACAAACTGTAATTTGGTTCTTCCACGTGACACTGCTGATACTTCAAACAGAAGGGCTTCTCAAACTTGCTGTGCCTCAGAATCACACAGGAAGTGTATTTAAAGAATACTAATTCCAAGGGAAAGGGATAAAGAAACAAACATATTGAACAAAAAAGAAAGCAGCACAGAGGACAGACCTCAGGAACTGACACAAAGATTCCCAAAGGATACAAAAAGAGTGAGAAACAAAGTAGTAGGAAAAGAAATTAAAAAATCACAGAAGCTGCCGAAACCGGTTTGGCTCAGTGGATAGAGCGTCGGCCTGCGGACCGAGGGGTCTCGGGTTCGATTCCGGTCAAGGGCATGTACCTGGGTTGCGGGCACATCCCCAGTGGGAGATGTGCAGGAGGCAGCTGATGGATGTTTCTCTCTCATCGATGTTTCTAACTCTCTATCTCTCTCCCTTCCTCTCTGTAAAAAATCAATAAAATATTTAAAAAAAAAAAAAATCACAGAAGTAAAATTCCCTGAGTTGAAAATATCTAGTCTATATACTGAATTGGATCATCTAGTATCTACACTAATAAAAGACAAAGATGCTAATTGACCATACCTTCACTACACCCACCAGCCAATCAGAAGAGTATGCAAATTAACCCAACAAAGATGGCAGTTAATTTGCATACACAGGCGCGCAGTGAAGACTGAAGACAGTGTAGAAGGAAGCCAAGCACTGCAGAAGGGAGCCAAGCGGTGGAGAAGGGAACAGATCAGAGGTAGCAGAGACGGGAGTAGAGCTGCGGCAGCGGACACGGGAGGGAACGAAGTGGCGGAGAAGGGAGGGAGCGAGGCGGGGGGGAAGGGAGGGAGCCGAGGCGGCTGACACAGGAGGGAGCCAAGGCAGCGGAGACGGGAGGGAGTGAAGCCTGCTTCCAGCTTCGCTCCCTTCTCTGCTTTGCTCTGTCCCCAGGAAGTCCTGTTCTTGCAGGAATAGGCCCGAGGAAGCCCTATTCTTGCAGGAAACTTCCTGCAATGGGCCTCTAGTATATAAAAATAAAAATTAAAAAATTAAAAGATTTTTAAACATATCTCATGAAAATTTTGAATTCCAAGGATAGAAAACAAGAAGCTATAAGCATTACTGTAGGGGTGAGGGTAGGGACCAAAGCTACCTAAAAAATAAATATAAAAGTTGGTTCGGACTTCTCTTAAGCAACAAGCACTAAAATGACATGATAGTTATCTGTGACTTAAAAATTGTGAGGGAAAAATAACTGGGACCAAAAAATTTTATACTTTACTGAATAAAAGCATCATCAGACATGCAATGACACATAAAACTATAGCACCCATTTGCCCTTTTTCAAAAAAGTACTAGAAGACAATGAGATGAAACCAATGAATGGGGACATATGGCACAGATGAAATGAAGGCAATCAATGAAATTAGTAAGGTAGGTATAAATGTCTAAATAATTAGCCTATCTAATAAAAGAGTAATATGCCCTCTCCGCTCCTTTGTGACAAAGATGGTAGTGCCCATAGCGGCGGGGCAGGGCGCTGGTGGCGTCACCCTAGCAACATGAGCCCAGAAGGCAAGTGTGCCCGCAGGCAGCACCCAGCAGGGCCTGCTTGACCATCGCTGCAGCGACCCACGAGCAGGCAAGTGGGGGCCGCAGGCAGCACCCAGCAGGGCCTGATTGCCCATACCCATGGTGTGGAGCAGGCAGGCCCCACAGAGAGCAGAGAACCATGGGGAGTGGGCCCAAGCTGTCAGTAGGACATCCCCTGAGGGCTCCTGAACTGGATAGGGTGCAGGTCAGGCTGAGGGACCACCCCCCTGTGCACGAATTTCATGCACCTGGCCTCTAGTAAGTAATAAAATGATGTAACTTAATGCAAATGTCAAAAGCATTCTTAAAGAAGAATGTTAAAAAACGACTTAATAATCTAGAAATAAAATCTCAGATAATTTCAATGACACTTGGGAGGATTGAAGGAAGAAGTAAAAGCATGATTATTTATTTTCTTCTCTCAGAAATGAAATAATTTGATTTCAGTACTTTTTTCTGTGAATAAGATTCTTAAATGTGTTCACAATAAATTCCTGAAATAATAAATATAGTGACTCCAGGATCCTAAGTACTAGATATTCTTAATAAGCAATCCCAGGTAAGGCTGAGAAATCTCTATTTTTTAAAAAGCCCCCTGAAGGAAAAAAGGGGATCATTACAACTTTATATCAGAGTTTCTTAACTGTCTGTATTATTGACATCTGGGTTGGATATCTCTTTGTTGTGGGGGCTGTTCTATTGTGAGGTGTTATAGGCAGTATAGCAGCATCCTGGCCTCTATCCACCAGATGCCAGTAGTAATCCCCAAGTCATGACAACTAAAAATATATCCAGACATTGCCAAATTTCTCCTGGGGGGCAAAGTCACCCCTGGTTGGGAATTCTTGTTCTGAGATACAGAACAACTTCAAATGTGAATGCCCAAAAATTATGAAAAAAAAAAAATTAAAAAATAGTATGGTTCAGTTAAAAGTAATACAAAGCTACATTCTCAATTAATGGATGAACTAACCAAAATTGTAAAATGGGGAAAAGTAAGCTTCCCAAGTGATTCAGCTAGATTTGGGAAACCACTCTTTGCTGTACATAAGAATCATCTAGAGAGCTTTGTTAAAAATACAGATTCACAGACTTCAGATCTGGAGAACGTGATTAATAGGACTGATGTGAGCCTAGGAATCGCATATTTTAGTAATAAGGTTGTCAGTAATCAGATTTTGAAATATGCCGCACTACAGTTACTTAATGCCTATAAGGAGAGAATAAATCCCTACCAACTTTCTCTGAGTATCTCCTTTCCCCTAGTCCCTTACCTGGCTCACTGCTTATGAATTGTAGTCTATTATCATATGAACATTATTTAAGCTGAAACCATCATTTATGGTAATCTCAAGCCACTTACATTTTAGAGTGCTATGAATGGAAGTGCTTGCTCCTTCCAACCTCCCAAGGGTGCTAACTCATATACTGAGCTTTCTGAAATACTTTGAAGTTGCCAGATATACAGCTTCCTAATCCTTAGAGGATGGGCAGGACCATTCAAAAAGGTCATGTTGATAGTGCTCAGACAACCATGCTGTTTCTGGCCATACTATATCAAATTTCCCATTAAAAGTGATAGATATATGACAAATACATTTTAAAATAAGCCACTTTAAAATACCACATCTCAAAAAGCTCTAACAATACTTCCTTAAATTGATCATGTTTATTTGAAGAAATAGTAGGTGACAAAAGAAGTAGCAGTCATATCACTCATAGGAAGGCTTTAATTTAGCCCTGGCTGGGTGACTCGGTTGCTTGGAGCACTGTCCCGTACACCAAAAGGTGGCAAGTTCAATTCTCAGTCAGGGCACGTACTTAGGTTGCGGGTTTGCAGGGTGCATATGACAGTCAATTGATGAATGTTTCTCTCCCACAATGATGTTTCTCTCTCTCTCTCCTTCTGTAAAATCAGTGGAGACATATCCTGGGGTGAGGATTAAAAAAAAAGGTTTTAAGTTAAAAAACTTAAGCTGCCCCCCAGGAGAGAGGAAGGAAGAGGTAGAAAAAGAAACATCGATGTGAGAACAAATCATCAATCAGCTGCCTCCTGCCAGAGAATCAAACCAGCAACCTTTTGGTGCACAGGAAGATGCCCAACCAACCGAGTCACAACATCCAGGGCAAGCAGGCTTTAATTTAAGTGGTCGGTTATCCACTTACCTCAGCGACTTTTAAGACACACAATACCTCACTACTTAGTCAGGAGCATTACCTCTTTTCCCTTATATCGGCAAATAAAAAAATAACAAGAGCCAACACAACAATAACTGGGCAGTGTGAATTAATAAAAATTATATCTATTTTTCTGTCAGATCGGCAAAAAAAATATATTTTCTGATGTGTCACAGAATCCTAGTAATTAGTTTATGTGTGCCACGAGATGAAAAAGGTTGAAAATTGCTGACTTACCTGATCACCACGTTTCAGTCCTGCATCAGCAGCTTTGCTATTAGGTTCTACTCCTTCAACAAAAATACCAAATCCCTTCTCACTTCCTCCATTAAGACTGAAATGCAGAGGGGACTCCCGGGAGGCTTTTTGCAGCACAACTTGTCTCCACTTAGCCTTTGCAGCACATGCAATATTCAATAACCGGAGATGACCATTCATTTTCTAGAAAGCAGAAAAAGGAAAAATGTACACAAATGTATGTATCTACTCCTATAGGCTTTAACAAAAATGACCTAAAATTATTAGAATTAAAGCAGAGTAAAGAACATGTAAGTTGGGGTAAATAAAAGTGAAGGAGAACTTCCACCCCAGAGCACTGTTAAGAATCTCTTAACATGAAAACTTCTAGCTAATTACAAATTAGAAAAGATTTCAAAGTGATGTCTCATTTAGAGGGGGATGACAAGAAAATTACTCATTTCTTAAACCTTCCCTAATACTTACTGTACTATCTTGCTTATCTCCTGGCTGTTATATACAACCCAAATCATTTATTTAAAACCTTATAGGACTTGAACCACCTTTCCAAATACTAATATCCAAAGACAGTCATGTCTCCACCTCTCCCAAGAATGTTATTCCCGTATTATTTTAGATCTTCTTTAAACTTAGTAATATTCTAACTTCTATATTTTAATACCAGTTTAATATCCAACTACTCTCAAATAGTGTAATATGTATAAATCTCATATCCATAACAAGAAGCTAAAGTTTTTTCAGCATGCAGGAGGCAACTATTCAGTGTGTCTCTCTCACATCCATGTTTCTTTTTCTCCCCCCCCCCCCCGGCCCCATCCTTCCACTCTCTCTAAAAATCAATGGAAAAAAATATGCTCACTTCTTGGGTAAGGACCAAGGCTTACACCTGTTCTGATTCTATATAACACCTTGAAGGATAAAGGAGAATTCCATAAAAAATTGATGACTAGCTGATTACGGGGGGGGGGGGGGG